AATAAATGCAGCCTAAGGATCTATCTCATCTTATCTACCAGTGTGCTTGGTTATTTGAGTAAGGTGTGATCCATAAAACACTCTTGAGAACTTCTATTCTTCCTCATTTATACGATTCACACCTTAAACCTGGAATACACAACTTTTGTTTCGTAGATAACCCAGAAAGAGCCTAAAACAACAGGTTTCATTCATTATCTGGGATCTAGTTCTAAATGAGTTGTTCCACCCTTTGAATACCAGTTCTCCGGCTTCAAATGTGCTCATAACTTTTCTGGTAACAACCTGCATTTGACGTAAAAAGAAACATAATTCTGTCTCAAAGCATATGTCCACCAAATGATCCGATGATTTTGGACTATGAGGATTGAGTTTGAATGCTAATAACCACAAGTTTTAGAAGTAGACCTAAAGTTCGGTTGGACTTTTTTACTATTGTTAGTCACTTTTAGAATGACGTATTGATTTGTTTTGTTCGTGTGAATGAATGTGTTTCTGCTGTTGGACACCCAAATGTCTTCTACCGGGATCAATATAATATCTATCTATCTATCGATCTATGAATGAGAATTTCACTTCTAGAATCAGAGCGGACATCGCAGCTCCACAATAAAAAAATATAAAATACAAAGGGTTTCCTACAAAGTACTGGAAGATCTCCCTCCAGGAACGCAGATTCAATCAACTTCCTGTCAGACAAATCTACTCCAGCGTGATGATAGCCCACTCCCAGCACCAACATGTCTGCAACACAGAAGGACTGTTCATGGTTCTGCTTCGTCTCATATAAAAACAGTTCTGAGAAGGAGACGACCTCTGAGTTTGGAATCCAAGATGGAGTTTGCGTATTTCATCAATCTGAAATCACAAGTGGAGGCAGCGGTCACCAAAGCACTCACCGTACGACGGCTTTAAGACAAACCTTTGCTTGTGCTCGATGGTCATCAAAAACCGGGCGTCCTTTGCCAAAACCGCAGCCGACTGTTGCGCTCCTTTCCGAGTCGTGCAAAACTGACAAAACATCACATTATTTTATTTTACACAGCACAAAGTTATGAAAAATGAATCTAAAAATTGCTCAAATTTGGCAAAATGTATCTTAAAAGGTATAGAGAAGGATTTTCTACTTCCGGTTGGATCATCCAGACTATTCTTTTCTAAAAAATGGGAAAATCGTCCTATATACTTTTAATTTGAGCACAATTTGACTGCCAATGGGACAAAGCACAATGATCTTGTTTTAAAAAGACACAATAAATATCTCCCATTGGAATGAGAAAACAAATTAAACAGTTATAGACATGAGATTAAATGGCTTTGTCCAATTGGAGAATCTTGTTTTAAGACAGTCCGAATGAACTCAAATTAAGATAAAACCACTTGTTCTGAGCATTTATTACCTCATATTTGATATTGTCTTCTTAGTAGAATTTGGTTCTTCTATACCAGACACTAACTTACTATTGTCTGGTAAAGAAGAACCAAATGACCTTACATCTCATTATTTACAATACAATACAATTCATTCTTGTATAGCCCTGAATCACAACAGTGGTTACTTGAGTGCTTCTAATCTAAGTTTATTTTCTTGACTCACTTGAAACACACTCCTTGCTGCACCTTGAAATAATGCTAGTTTAAAGAATACTGACTTGGAATGAATGGTGTTTTTTATGACAGATTACCGGGAAGCAGCAGAGAAGGTGCACCTACTTTATCAACATGGAGGCAAATGACATTCAATATCCACAAGAGGTTTTGCATTTGATAAATAGCCGTGGTATTAAACATATTCTGGTCACATTTTTGCCCTTGAATAGTCAGCTATAGAAATGGTACACACCACTAAAGTTGGCTTATGTTCGGAGTAGGTCTGGATAATGTTGGCCATCTTGTAGTTTAGAGTGAGGTCAAACTTGAACTCAGTCTGACTGGAACTGCAGGGGAAGCCCAGCACAACTTTCCTCAGCTTCACGGGCCGATGGCTCTCATCCATGTTCAGGTAAGTGGCAGAGCCGTTGGTGTCACACAACCAGTCAGCAATCTGAGAACAAAAGATCCCCAAGAGATTAGATTTACAGGCTTCAACAAGAACTAGTCCCTACAATCCACCAGACCCTATCAGAGGAGTGGCCTCGTTCATGCTGGTCGTGTTCACACAGAAACAAACTGAAAGTGGCTCCAAAGATCTTTAATACTACCATCTGTATAGTTTGGAACATTTCAATTTTTTATGATATATGTACAGTATTACTTATTATCCTGCCCTATATGTACAGTATATAACTCCGCAGTACTACATATATATATTTTATTTTGAAAGACTGGTATTGAAACATTTACAGCATTTACAGGAAGTTAAGCTTCTTAAGAAACCTAGCTACTAATTATTTTGTATATTTGTGTGCTCCCTGTGTGCTCTTAGCTAGTACCGTCCTGTATGTGCGCTGCAACATTGAAATTTGCCCACTGTGGGACGAATAAAAGAACTCTTATCTTATCATATTCTATTAAGCAATTGCACATGAAACTGTGACATGGGGCTTGGCACTCAAAGTGCCAGAGTAAAATGCAAATCTTACATCAGTGATGTTTGGGATCGTGGCAGACACGGCCACGAACCTCATGGACACAGCGCCCTTTGGGTTCTGAACAGCTCTATAAACATTCACCGTCTTCATGCGGCTCACGACCACCTCCAGAGTGGCTCCGCGGGTCGTATCTTTGACTACATGAACCTAAACAACATGGAGCATTAAGAATAGACCCTTACATGAGTTACATTTAGTTCCTTTGCTTTATGGTTAACAACACAGACAAAACAGACGCACAACAATAAGGTTTTTCTCACTTCATCAATGAGGAAAAGCCTGACGAGCTGCAGCAGACAGTTATCCTTCCATTTCCTCGTCAGACTGTCCCACTTTTCCTAAAACCAATAAAATTACTAAATAAAATGCAGATAACAACATAATGCAATAATCTAGAATAAAGTAAGTATGTAAATAATATAGTATCTAATAGTTATCAGTCAATATGAATGTTTCTCAGCCCTAAAAGTAACACATTTCCTACAGGCGTGGTCAGAATGATGTGCGAGTCTTGAATCTCGAAGAAGTCGTCGATCTCCGTGTCGCCGGTCAGCTCCTTGCACTTCAGTCCCAATGGCCCAAATTTCCTTTTCCAGTTCTCAAAGCACTGGCTGCACAAGGCCTTGATCGGTGCCACTGGAACAGCACAAAAACAAAGGCTTTCAGAATGCAAAAGAACACAATTTTGATTAAAGAATGTTGATATATTTATAGTAAAATGTCTGTGTAATCTCTTATTGCTCCAGGTGTGATCCTTAGAAAACACTTCAGGTATTTTAATGCGTGTACAAAATTAGGTTTATGTGTGTTGTTTTTGGCCATTAAACATGACAAACAAAAGACATCTGGTTAAATACAAGTGTGTGTGAATGGGGAAGTCTGGGCGTCTCTGTGGACTGCTGCCCCTACCTCCGGGCAAAAAACCTCCGGACAGCATGGCTGGATGGATAATGGATAAAGAGCCCAGCGAGCTCAGTAAAATGCGCCTCTAGTGGTGGAAGTGGGAAAAAAGATTCTGCTTTGAGTGATAATTGGCAGAAGAAATGACATAACCCAATTAGAAACCAGTACTTTGGCATTACTCGACAGAAAACAGCTCTGTCTTTTACATCAGTGGAACGAGTTTTGTGACAGATCTTTATATTAGCGTTGATTATGTGTTATCGAAAAATATTATTAAAATACAATGCCGTGAAAACATTATTGCCCCCTGAATCTTTTTTATATTAATCACACTTAAGTTTGTGATCATCAAGAACATTCAACAATCTGTTCGAGCTTCAGTCCCATCCTCTCCCACCTCAATATTTGTATTATTAATTTGGAAAATGTATTTGGTTTTTACTGGTATTGTCTTTGTCTGACACAAAAACAAATAGATTAAAAAACAGAAAAAATAAAACATAGAAACAAAGAAGACAAGTCCTAAGTGGAACAGTGGGTGCAGAGTTATTTGAATCTGATACAGTACTGACTTTAGTTTGGTCTCTAAATTCAGAAAAGTGAGTAATAGTAAGTAATATTTTTTGATAGAGCTGCTTTTACAGACAAGGGCATTTTTTCTCTGACTCCACACAGAGATGGAAGCTGGGTCACTAATACAGGAGGCGCATGTCAGGCCTATTGTCCATGTTTTAGGTATAGGGGAAACCGGAGCACCTGGAGGAAGCCTGCTCCTCACAAAAAAGCCACATCTGGAGGCAGAACCGAACTCAGGATGTTACTACTTCTTCACAGCACAAGTACAAAGGACAAACCTGCTGCTCATGGACAAAAAGGTTGTATTCTAATCTACTCTGCATCTACTCTATGGGTTGAACACTGAACACTGAACTGGGCTGAATACTACACTGGTCCAGACCGGAGCAGAGAGGATTCATGGTCCGAACCAAGAAGATCAGGTGAAAATCCACTGGAGGAATGCTAATTTTTTTTTAAATGCTAATGAAGAATTTAGCATTTTACTTTGGACTAGAGCAGAGAAAATGACCCGTCCTGCTCCACCCAGAGGCTACTCCACCTCTTTTACTGTGACCCGTCCTGCTCCACCCAGAGTTTACTCCACCTCTTTTACTGTGACCCGTCCTGCTCCACCCAGAGTTTACTCCACCTCTTTTACTGTGACCCGTCCTGCTCCACCCAGAGTTTACTCCACCTCTTCTGCTGTGACCTGATTTTTTACTTTTTATAAGAATGATCTTATTTTTTATTTTTGCTGCTACTGGACACCTGATTTTCTCCGACGGGGATCAATAAAGTATCTATCTATCTATCTATCTATCTCAATCATTCCTAAGAATATTTACTGTATACAGCCTTGAAGTCGCTCCACGGCTCAGAAGTCTCCATCAGTTGACGGATGATGGCCAGCTCAAACAACACTGTTTTCCCAGATCCGGTCGGAGCAGATGCCACAAAGTTTCTCCCAGTGTAAAAAACCTGAAAACGAAGCATTTTTGTAAACAATAAATATTTAGAGCGAGAAAACTGTGCTGCTGTTTTTGTGTAAAAAATCTTACATCATCCAATGCTTTCGATTGTACGTAGTTGAAATAGGGGAACTCAAAGACAGATCTAAACTTGGATGCTGCTAAAGTTAAGGAAATGGTAGGACGTTTTAAACCATCCAATATTTATGGCCGTTTTTACAGATATTGACAATCTGTTTTGTAACTTTGAAGACTAATTTTGTTAAGACAGAGAGAAGCAGCAGCGGAGAAACTGCTGTGTAGAGCAAGAGGCAAAGAATATTCAGCTGTAGCCTGATGCTAGCTAGTGCATGGCTTTGAGTCCTTGGCAACTGGATCTGAACTAAAACTAAAATGTTATTTATTTGATAATAAGTAGTTTTATATTACTAAACAATCCCGCATTAGCTTTTCCAGTTACTAAAGAAAGGAGTAAAAGTACTTAAATGTCACCCCCAACACCAAGTAATACTTTAAAGAACATGCAAAAGCATACATGCAAGACATTACTACAGGTGAATGAAAAGGATACGTAATTCAGACACTGGTCTTAAAACTTCAGATGACCCTGAAAGAGAAAAACAACACATGAGAACTTTGTAAAATTTCTTATTGGACTAAATTAATAACGTTTAATTATGTTTACGGTAATACAATTATATATTATTATAACAATTATAATGGTAGTAGTAATAGTAATTTGCTTTTCGGCCTTTAAGTATCTGCTATGGGTAGTATTAAATTCTACCCATGTAAAAGGTATGCTATTTTTTACGTATTCTGAAATAAATATCTTAATTGATTGATGGCCATTCATCTTAATATCTAATTGTACAAGAAAGGTAATTGAGAGGTCAAAAAATGTCAAAACACTAAAGTGCAGGGAACCAAACACAGGATGCAGATGTGTCCTTGTTTTATTAAAAGATTTTAAAACGCATTAGAGTCAGACCACTTTTTTGTTTGCTAATCCTGTAGTATAGTGTTCAAGTACAATTATACCTTACACTTATAATATATCAGGCTGACAAAATGTAAATAGAAATACATCTGTGAATACATATTGAAATTGTACATATACAAAATACATGGTGAAGCTATACTGTTGCATGATTATATATCTATGTGTATATATATATTTGCATGCGTGTGTATGTGGCAGTAGGCAACAGAACGAAGTACAAATGTATCTCCATTTACTAATTCATGTTAATATTGTGAATACTTATTAATTTATAATTTCTCGTCAAATTAATAATATCAATCATTGTTTATATTTTTCTATATATTTATTTTCATTTTGTTTATTGTTTTACTTGCTTGTGTCTTTATTTTATTTTTCCTTTTTTTGGTGAGCGAGTGGGAAAAAAAGAAAATAAATAAAAATACATGTCTCGTTGTGCTGTATATATTATGTATAATGAAGATGACAAAATAAAAATAAAAAACAGCTGATTATCTTAAGTGCTTTCTATATTTCTGTATGTTCTGTACTGTCTGTGCGTTTCAACACTGACATTTCACCACCATGGGACAAAATCAGTTCTCTTCTCCTATATCATTGTGTACTGGGTGTGAAAAAAATAGCAAATAGAGCCATAAAAAAGGACAAAATGATGAAATTCTGACAAAACAATGACAGTTTTGGCTTCCCTCCGTACATCTTAACACCCACCATGATTCATTACATCACAGGTCACAGTCTCCCGGGCTTTGCCTTATTTAACCCCTGAATCAAAGCCATGGCGGCAGCTGTGGCGAGACAACTGCAACCCCATTTACCGCCAGCTCTACATCTCTGCTGCGTGTTTAGTAATCACCGCCGGCAGCCAGTGAGCCGTGAGTTAGCCGCACATAATGCTCTGTGGGGCACCTTGTATGCAGAGCGGCTGAGGTGTCATGGGCGGGACGAACGCTCTCTTTGTGTCCCCCGTCTCTGCCGCCACGTGGAGGGCCGAGCCGCTGGGGGACACTGGGTGGACTGTCTGGCGGACTGTCTGGCGGACTGTCGACAGTGGTGGATGGCGCTGGGAGGGTGGTGGTGGGGCTGTCGTCATGGCAACCTGACCGGGGAAACTTGAAGGTCTAAATCTGGTGTTTGACATGGCACCTTCATCACCGGATGTCTGAACCTTAAACAGGCTGTGTTTCATAAAAAGGTGTTAATTATTAGTCGTGATAACAAAGGCATGTCTATTCTCTTAATACTCAACATGAGAAAAGGTTAAACTGGTAGGATTAAACATGAGCAGTCAATTTGACGGCATTTCATTTAGGAGGTGTAATTACTCTGCCTTTTGGTGCGTTTTTTGGTCTTCAAAACTTTGTGACTTTTTCTGTATCAATATGTAGTTTATTTCTATGTCATTATGTTTATGAAATTAGCTTGATCCAAGACTGGTCCAGAGCATTCTCAGCTTGGAGCAAGTGTTAGTTACCATAGCAACAGACTATTTACTTGCAGCAGTTATAATTTAGTATCATTTAGTTTTGTTCATCACAACCAGTTTTAGCATGTAGTAAAAATGAAGCATTAATACAGACAAAAAAAACCTATTAATTCTAATAGTAGTGAAAACCTGTTTTTTTGAGACATTTCTCCAGAATTATATTGATTTTAATGAATTATGGGAGTTCTGGGAGTGTAAAGAGGACATTAGATTGGACTGCTACAACTTTTTTGATCCAAACTCAACAAAAACAATGAAAATGTGAAAACTGGCACTTCATCACCATCAACATTTATGCTGCAGTCTATTCTTAGGTTTCAGGATGATGAAACACGAGGACTGTTGCCATAGTGATTAACTATTCAAAATAAATTGTCTTTTTTTTTTTTTTTTAAAGGGAACATGGTCCTGGAAATGTGGCATGAAACAGGAAGCTACGAATGTCAGCCTTTGTGTGCGTCTTTCAAATCAGTTTGGTGTAACATTTGGGGATTTTATAATGACAACTGAGTCTGGTACGAGCAGGACAGACACCTCGAGGCAAATCTGGTGTTGTCCTTGTCTGAACCAGTTTCACTCCTATTGCAGTTCAGTTCCTTTTGTAGATTTGGCGGTTTTAGAATACTGTATTAACACCAATGAAAAGTAGAATGATTTTACTACACGCTGTCCGCTAAAATAAACAAAGGTAATTAATTCATATAGAGCAAGTTTATTTTGAAATTAGACTTTCTTTCTATTTCTATACACACTGTTAATTGTTTGCTTCTTTGACCAAGCTGTTGTAGAGTAAAGGGTCAATATTATAAAAAGTGGACAACTTCACATTCGAGGTTCATATGATGAGGTCTGCACTTATAGAGTGAGCAAGAGATACATCATTTTAAAGCATGTCTTCTCAAGAAAACATGTACTTTAGGAGTCTGCTACCTTTATTATCAAAAGTGTCATTTCTACTTTTGATAATAAAGTGATAAAACAGTGTAACTTGCCTTCTGCGAAGAGGAGGGCTTTCATTGTAGTCATCAGTCAGATCAACATCAGCTGTAAAACCAAATGCCTGTGGGGTTTCATCTCTGGCTGCGCTTGCTTCAAAAAAATTCTTGAATCCTTCACCGGGCCACAGATCAGGTGAAGTGGAGTTATGGTGTTGGGAGGCACTCCTGTGACTAACTTCAGTCTCACTGCCATCAATGTTAAAATTGTAGGAAAGTTTATTGATTGTTGGCAAGATGTTTAAGTCAGAAGATCTTTTAAAAGGAGGAGCAAAGTTCTTCTGAGGTGTCTGTGAAAGGCCTGTAAGAAAGAAAGAGTATTATGTCCATTTGTGTAGCCCAGTCATTTCTGAGCCCTGAGAGCATTCTTGAACAAATCATACAAGTTCATATCACAATGTTTTGTCCATTCTAAATTCACCATCTAGAAAGGAGAAAGTCTCTGCCTCCTCTTGCATGTCCTGGGTACCAGGGATTTGAGACAAAGATGGAGGCATTTCTATCTGCCATTGACTCGTCTCTTGGCGTAAAGGCTTTCTGTGGAGAAGGACATCATATTCAATGTTTTAATAATTAATGCTTATTAAAGCATTATATTTAAATATATGTATTTATCAATTACTCACACTTTATGGACAATGGGTTTTTCAAAAAATAGATTGTCCAGAGAAAATGTGCATTCGCCTGAATCAAACATCCTACCACAGTTGGAAATGATACAAAAGGTATAGTAGAATATTAGCTTAAACACATTAAATTAACATTTAATATGAAAAACAGATAAATCCCATTGAAAAAAAATATTCAAAGATATACAATTTACCCTTTTCCAACTAGTTTTTTGAAAAGCCATTTTTATTTTTGGACCATACATCTAAAAAAGATTTACTCTTCTCTTTTTGAGCAAATCCTTTCAAATTTACTGCCATCAACAAAACTTTATGACACAATTTAAAAAGGGAAATATTTAGTTTGTATTAGAATTCTTGAAATAAATATAGAAATGTACTTGCAGTTAGTAGTTACCATGGTTGTTACTTACAGACAGAGCCAAATTGTTAATAGTAAATGTTCTCTGTACGAAATTAAATGGGCAAATTAGATTGAATAACAGAAAAAGTGTAAAGATTAAATGAGCATATTTTAATTAAATTCGTTTTGAGCCTTTCAAAGAAAAAAAACATACGGGTTTATATGACTTGAGCTAGCAACCGTTGATTGCTTAGCTAATTAACGGTAATGCTACTTCAAACTGTTGAACAAATGTCAGTTAGTTAAATAAAACAAATATAAGTAACGGACACAACATAAAAAATCGTTAAACAACATAACATAACCATGGAGAATTGTTATCACGCGTTTATCACCTGTTTTTCTGCAAATGGCTCACGTTAGCTTAGGTTAGCTTAGGTGTAATAACTTTTTTATTTTTTTTTTTTTTTTTTTTATTAAACCAATGTTGACAGTGATAACACTCATTGAAACAAGTACAGTAATCAACAATTATCCGTATTTGCACATGAAAAATTACCAGTAGACATTAAAATAATGGACTGGATCAGTGCAAAATTAAAATTGTAAAAGAGAAAAACAAAACAAAAAACAAAAACAAGATAGAGAGAAAAATAGAGAGGATAGGAGAGCAAGAAGAAAAAAGGAAAAATAAATAACAAAGAAGATCAGTGTAATAACTTAGGGCAGGCCAGTTGTTAGCAGTTGGCATTGCCTGTATGTATATTGTGTATTACCAGCTCGTTAGCTCATGGCTAGGTTACAAGGGTTAATGGAAGTGGGGGAAACTTGAGATGCAGAGAGGATAAAATCTTATTTCATGACATAGTTTAAGTAAACCCCATTCGTCTTTTACTCACTAGCACCTTATTAACATATGAATGATAAATCACGACAGAGGGATTTGAAACAACAAAAGCCCAAGATCCATTGGAGAGATGGGCAGATCACCTCTTTTTAGGGCCAACCAACCCAGCGTGATTGACATATTAGTTTACTGTATGGACATAGCCGTGGTCTGTAAACCATAATCAAGGGATATATAAAATGGACTTTAGTATTTTTGATCAATTAATGCGGTAGAGGACCTAAAAATGCGCTAGACCTAAACCTACAGCACAACAAGAGATGGTCATTAACTGCCTTTTATGCCTCCTTTTTGGGATGTACCATTTCAAGCCCTGTGGGGGACGCCCGGCACAAACATAACGCAGGACACGTGGCCGCGTAAAGCTGTTGTGAGAATTGTGAATATCGCCTTCAATTGAATACCATACGAAAAGGCTCAAGCTACATTGTTGTGTTTTGGTACTAAATCCAATCCAGGAGATTTCATCGCTGCCGCCTTTCCAAAAAAATGGCTTGACCCACACCAGGCCACCACGGAAAATGGCGACTGTGAAATAGATGGAAGACGAAAGTAAGAAATTATTCAATGGTGCATATGAATTGTTCCTTGTCTGCTTCCTAGCCCCTCGGAGGTAAGGTTTTGTTATTTTTCGTTGCTTGGTTGGGATGTACGTGGGTTATGGCGTGATATAGTGATTATTAGCTGGTTTTCTGCCTGAGGAATTGGTTTTGGTGTGGAATGGTCTGCAGCCCCTGTAAGCAGCATCCAAAACACAGCACGACATAATCGTTAATAATGTGTAATAAAGTCGGTCCAGACATGCAATAGCGGTCCATTGTTATATGCAATTTTAGATATTTGCGGACATCCTGTAACTTTGCTGCTACTGGCTTGTACTTAAACTACTAGGCTGAAAGTTGTAGAAGCACATTTATGTTCTATTCCCAGGCATTCTCTCAACGCGATTAAAGAGTCTTTCTCTTTGTGTATTAGGTTACAACGTGCAACTGTACTGCTTATGTGTTTTTCATGGCATTGTATGCATCCTCAAAATGTGACATTTTTATTGCCCTTCAAAGCATTTCCATTCATGCGACCTTGTTTTGTTAAAGATGTTACAATCCATCATGTAATTATGTGAGGTTGGCTATCTCTAATATTCAACAAGGCTATAGCAAGACATAGGGGTTGATGACTTTCAGCCACATACAATGTAAAGGTTGGATGAAATCAATTTGTGGGAAGATATTTTGTTTTGCAGATTTTATTGTTTTATCTGACAACATGTTGTAGTGTTACTCCGAGCCTTTGGAGGCAGTGTCATGTGTTATAATCACCACTACTTCCAAAATGTATTGATATACTCTCGTCTTTCAGTTTTGACCAGCTTGTGTCCCTGTGACCACTTTGCTGTTCCCTGATTGGTTGCTCTCTGATTGGTGCGAGGAACTCGAGTTTATCTCATCTCCTACTTATGCCGCATCTATTTGCCATACCCACCTTCTCTGAAACATGTGTGCTGTGCCGTTAATGCAATGAGCGCAGTTCAACTGAAAGACCAATGCATCCAAAAATCGCTACAATTACCTCCTACCTTGTCCTTATTCTTGGGTTTTATATGACGTCGGGGCAGTGGTGCGAATGACATACGTGGGACAGGACAGGACGTGACGTACCCTGGTGGTGCAGTCTGCCGGGTATATACACGGAGATATAGTAGAAGAAGAAGCGCTGTCAAAATATCATCTTTTTTTTACTGTTGTAGCGACAGCGCGAATAGATAGAAAGACAAGAGTTTCTTCCGTGTTCCAACTGTGGTCTCATATAAAGGAGGACACTTTGAAGAAATCACTCGAAAGAGGTGGGTGAGGTGGATCAATGCTTTCCCAGATAAGCGCCCCCTGCAGGCCACCCGAATGAAACGCAAAAATGCCCAAAATCAAGACTCTTTTTGAGAAATAGTTTTTAGTACCCCCGTAGAATTGAGTGTCCTCCCGATTAAGACTGTTACAACAACCGTACACCGCACAGGATGAGAGCCTTTTGACTCCAAAACAGATCATATTTACATGGTTTTCAATGGGAGCAAAACTGAGTTGTCCCATCTCTGCTCATTCGCCCCCTACAGGCAAGGTTTATGAAACCCAAGAATTGCTTCTAATGTTTGACCTTCTGTTGAGGACCAATATGATGTAGCTGGTAGGAGATAAATGCTGAGATAAATGTTTTTATAAGAACTTCAGACTTTCCGACTCAAATGGAACAAGCACAGTTGGCAATCATAATCAATCTGGCTGAATTGTATCGCCACGCAAATTTATTAAGGCTAATATTATGCAGACGTTTTGAAACATGACAAAGTCATTCCATACACAATGGTGGTTAACTACTACTGTAGCCACAGCTGCCCTGGGGCACACTAGCAAACAAGAGGTAATTATTACGTGCCATTGGGCCCTTTGGCCACCACCAACCATTCACATGCACATCACTCATTCTAGGCAATGTGTGTTAAGTGTCTTGCCTAAGGACATAAGACAGACTAGTGGGTCTAAAAGCACTTCTGCTTTTGTGGAGGTAAATGCCTTTCACATTCAACAATGAGTGAAAGATAAATGCAGATGACTCTTCAAATTGGCTTTTTTCTGATATATTCTGATTCTGATTTGAGAGGATTTATTCGTGGCTGTTCGAGCTGAGATGCCAGCTAGGATCTCCTACCTGCTCCTACCTAGGGATGTAAATCGGCGACCGGTTAACCGGTGGTTGACCGTCACAGCGTTAACCGGTCAAAGCTGTCGGTTAAAAAAAAGAAAAAGGGGAGAGGGGAGGTCTCTTCATAACGCTATTTTAAGCCCTATTTGCACGGTGTGACGAGCGGGTCCGTATCTAGCTGTGTGCGCCCATGTATTATAAACTCCGGGACGACTCTCACGCCGCACGAGCCACATATGCACACGCACGCGCGCGCGCACACACACACACACACACTTTCCCCCTCTCCATACGTAACATCCACACGCATCATCTCTCCCCTCTGTTACCGTCAAAGTTGCACACTGGCGCGGGTCAGAACTACATTGGAGCTTACATTTACATACATACACACATACATACACACACACACACATACACACATACATACACACACACATACACACACACATACACACACACATACACACACACATACACACACACACATACCGGTCTGTCGCGCTCCTCTGTGTCACGGAGCCCAAAGGATTCGCGCAAATACGCGGTTCCAGTCAAACCACATGGAACATGTTTGTGTTTATGGTCCTCGGGATCAGCTCCACACACATCACTTGTATTTAAACTTTTGTGAAGACCTGTGAGACACGGCTCGTCACTCGCTGCTCTGACCATGTGGACGAGCCGTCGTTTGCTGCTAGAAAGTTTTGGTATTAACCCGCAGCACAGCAGAATGGGAAGATTAAAAAAGCAGTTCTCTGTGCGCAAAGGTGCCGGAGCTGTTGCGGGTTTGGACGCCGCTGTCTCGGCTCTGATCCAGTAGAACGCAGAGCTGCACTTATGAAAAGTACGCGGCTCGAAATGGCCGTTATTTCAAAGAACGTGGACTATTTTAAACTACGCGGTTAACCGGTTTCAACCGGTTAATGAGGCTCGGTGGTCGGTCATGAAAATTCATAGTTTTTTACATCCTTACTCCTACCCATACTAGGAATGTCTCTAGTTTCCTATGCTAAACAGCCTGGGGGTTCCTTTCATTACTGCTCCTTTTGGATCCTCCTTGTCATGATGAACGGTGGACTGATAATACCGCCATGTCTTTGGTCATTTAGGATGGTGTCCTTTCTGTTAGTTGCTCATAAAGCCAGTTGTTCCAAAACGTCCAAGAACTGTACTGTGTGTCTGCTGTCTATACATGTCATTTCTATAATACCATACTTGATTGTCTTGCAGGTCATGGCAGCAGAAATATCATGTCTGACAGGTGTTGATACAGATGACAAGGATGCGGACCCTGAGATCAACGCTCTCATGCTCATGCAAGAGCCGCTGAGAATGACCTCCTGCACTGATGCCTTCAGCAAGTCTTTGGGACAGCCGAACGGTGTCCTCGATGTTCTTTCCAGTGAAGATATGTTATCCCCAGTTGGTTTGGGTAATGGACCTTCTGTGCATCAGCCAACCGAGGCTCATGAACTCAACAGCTTTTCCAATGATAAGGAGGAGGAAAAGAACATTACACCACTTAAAACTGTGCAGGAAATTGGTGGTATGTGGGATTTTGACATAGACTCTTCTGAAGAATCTTCAGATGACTTGAATAGTCCAGGTAATGTTACCTGGGATTCTCCAAAAGAGGTCATGCAGTTTCTGTGGGACAGTCATGGAGACTCTCCTGGAGAGGAACCTAAAGAAGAAGCCCTGTTACCTGATCGCCCAAAGAGACGGAAACGGAAAATGGACATGGTTGTAATGGTTGACCCATCTGAAGAGTTGTTTCCTCCAGAAGAAGAAGAAGAAGAAATTCCAGTCATTAAAGTTCAGAAACCAAGGATTTCACCTTCCGGAAATGCTACTCAGTATACCAATGGGACAACAAAGCATTTTATTGATAGTTCATTATCAGGAAAATCAAAGCTGAATAGTATAAATCATAAGCTTTCTCCGTTAAACTCATATTCAGACACATCTCTAGAATACCCTTGCACAAACTGCAAACTAGTCTTTAAGAAACGGCACCTGTTGGATTTTCATATGAAGTCACACACAGAGCCTTATGTTTGCAAAGAATGTGGGAAGACTTTTAAAAAGAGTGGGTTTCTCATTGAGCATATGGCAGTGCACAGACCCAAAGTCACAGTCGGGAAAAAAACTTGCAACTCTCAAATGCTTGCATGCCCCCAATGTTCATTTGAAACTAAGAGCTCAATTGAATTTGTACAACATGCAAAATCACACCAGAAAGAGTTGAAATGTGACAAATGTAACTTCAAGTCTAAAGATGCATGCGAACTTAGGAAGCATAATGTTATTCAGCACAGTATTCCCGCAAAAAAGAATGACGAGAAACCATCATTTACTTGTGTCATTTGTAGTTCATACAGAACGTTCAGTAGACTTGTTTTCAGGAAACATTTACTGCGACGACATGATCAGTCTGTGGAAATGTATGAAGCTAAATATGGTGCTCTCACACACTCACCTGTGATAGTCCCCACTTCAAAATCGAACGTGAGAAATACAGAATACCCATCCAAAGTACCCATTAAGAGTGAAATTACAAAGGTATCCCACCCCCCCAGAAGCATTCCTGTAGAGAAAAAGAGTCCCAGCGATCAATGGCTTTACTGTCCTCAATGTTCATTTGGAACTAAGTGCTCCAACCAATTTGTACAGCACGCAAAATCACACCTGAAAGAGAAGACCGAAAAACCGACAGATTATAAATGTGTCAAATGTAACTTCAAGGTCGATAGTGAGTCGGAACTTCGGAAGCATACAATTTTACATCACAGTGCTCCCACCCCAAAAAAGTATGAAGAGAAATTAAACTCTACTTATACTTGTAATATATGTTGTTCATATAAAACGTTTAGCAAACTTGTTTTCACGAAGCATTTAATGCGTCGGCACGATCAAACTTTTGAAGAATATGAAGCTGATAATTGTGATTTTTCAAACACAAAGAAACCCCAGTCCGTACCCACCTCAAAATCTCACTTGAGAAACGAGTTGACCTCGAAAATATCCATTGAGAGTAAAAACTCAACAAAACCTTTATCGCACGGTTCAAACAACATTTCAAATTTATTTAGAAACAACAGGCGTCCAGGATTGTTTGACATAGAATCAAAGCTTGACAAATCTATCAATGAATTCTTGAAATGGCAAAAGGAAAGTCCGAGGTCCACGAATCAAAAGAAGGAAACGAATGGCAAAACCAGCGAAAAAGATCCTTATGATTTACCCGAGTCACCTTTGTCTGATAATGACCAAATGCAATCTGAAAATGATCTTGATCCTAACTATTGTCCAAAGACAAAAATAGTAACCATTATTCAGAACAAAACCTATTCCAAGCGGAAAATGACTACTCCATTTGACGACTCATCAGACGAAGACACACTTTTGCCAGAATCGTCAAGTCCTAAATGTGAGGAGGATGAAGACGACGACTTTTTTGAACAAAGCGACTTGTCACCTTTTAGAGATTCCGACAACAACCACGACGATGGCATCTTCAAACGACAAAAGCAAATCATTTACACTTACAGTAGGAGAATGTCCATTAGGGGAGCCCTGCAAGAATCCAAAAAATTATACGAGAAAATAAAAACTGAAAGTGATGTGGAGATCAAAGATGAGGAGGCTGACGAAGATTTAGTCATAGAGAACGAAACTGTCCGACCTGTCTCCAGCGAACAAGTTCCTGCAACTGATCCAGATCGCAAGCGTTGTCCATATTGTGCCGCTGAATTTGAGTCGGGCATTGGACTGTCCAATCATATTCGAGGGCATCTTCATAGAATTGGACTCAATCACAAAGCTCGTCACAATCCGGTCTCAACCACCGATGAAAAGCTACACATTGGACAAGGAATAACGCTAATGAAGAAAAAAGGTAATTGTTTAAACATTGACTGTGAAACAAAAAGCATGCTGATACCCCTGTAAAACCCAGGCGGCTAGAATAGGCGGCTAGCCATAATTTATCTCAGATGCTTAGGAGTAGGGATGCATGAACTGTGATAAAACAACATGTATTTTGAAATTTTACACCTTTTTATGTATCTGCCCACTTCCTCTCGCTTACACCTTTACGGATAGTGGCCCATTTCTTGTCAGTCTAGTGTGTTGTCATGTGAAAGGTTTCTTGTCAGTCTAGTGTGTTTGTTTGAAAGGTTTTGTTTCTTGTCTTTCAGCAGAACTGGAGGAGGACATTGACTCTCTGACTTTGAAGAAAGTCCACAAATGTCCATTGTGTGGGGATTCGTTTGACAACAGAACAGGGCAGGCCAACCACATTCGAGGCCATCTCAAAAAGCTTGGAAAAGGTGTTACATCCAAACTTAAATCTCCCATACTTCTACTTCGGGAGTTGATGCGAGACAAGAAGGAGTACCAGAGGGCTCTTGAAATCATCGGAAAAAACAATTATGTCCAGCACAAACCATCATCCAAACTGTCTGACTTTCGAACTTTTACACCTCGCTCCATAGACTATGTGAAAGATGAGAGCTTTGACAACAAACCACTTGCACCCAAGCTCTCGTTGCATATTTCTGAAAAAGACGAGCTAGAGACAAATTCGGACATAAAAAACAACTCGGCTTTGATAGGAATTCTAAAGAAGAGGAAGTGTCAGGAAGACGGCGACCAATATTCAGGATCAAGACTTCTATCATCACTGCCACATTCTTTATCAGGTGAGTCATAACTTGCTTTTATTTGTATCTTGATTGCAAATGATTAGTGGTGTTCAGAACACTGGAGATTGGTAGAAATGTTCTCTCACTAACTGGAAGGTTACCTTCCAGTATTATTGTAAATCAACAATCACCTGTTTTGCCACTAATGGGCTTTACTTCAAAAGACGAGATTTGTTTTGGCTTTTCAATAGTTATGGCAACAATGAGAATCTTTCGTAACTCTGAAACATTTTGTAGGGAACTTCATAGGTTTCAGAGTTAAGAATTGGTTCAAATGCCAAGATTGGCCATTTTCCACAAACCATATGTGCAGTTCCCTCGAGTATCTTATGAATGGAGCTGGTCCAGTGTTCCGCGGCCCGGACAAAAACCACACTGATTGGGGATTTGATTATTGGTTGAAGTCTCATCTCCAGTTGGAGAAGAGACTTCAACCAAGTAGGAGACCTTACTAGAGAGGCAGAGGAGTGTGATCCAACAATCACTGGAACACACCCTCTGGCCCCCCTTTCTAAAGCGGGGGACCACCACCCCTGTCCGCCACTCCATTGGCACCGCCCCCGATTGCCACGTCCAGGTGGTGATTGGGGTGGCGATGTTGCAGAGACGTGTTTGCCAAGACAGTTCCACAACATTCAGAGACTTTGGGTCAGGTCTGATGTCATCCACCCCATCGGAGCCTTGCCACTAGGCTGCTAACCACCTTGGTGACTTCAGCTAGGGAGCTGGAAGTATTCGCCCCAACACCCTTAGCCTTAGTATTGGAAGAAGTGACGGGGGGATTGAGGAGAACATGGAAGTATTCCTTCCACTGCCCAAGAATATCCCTAGCTGAGGTCAGCTCTCCACCTGCACTGTAAACAGTGTTGACAAAGCACTACTTCCTCCTCCTGAGGCGCCAGAATCTCTTTGAGGCAGACTTTTAGGAGTGCCATGATCCGCGACCACAGCTCCAAGCTGCAGTATCGTGATAGAGGGTTAGGCCCACCCAGACTGGACACCCCTTCCTCCTCCTTCGGGAAGACGCTCTCCCAGAGTTGTGAGTTGAAAGTCCGTCTAACAGAGGGCACAGTGAGACGTTGCCAGGTCTTACCGGCTTACTCCACGTGCACTGGTGGACACTAGGAGTGTGACATTATATCAATATGGTGATGTATCGTGATACTTTCTCACGCAATCAATTATCAATATGCTTTTGCTTAGTGATTATTTTTTTTCTTTAGCTTTTAGAAAAAAAAAAAAGTATCGATACTTGATATGGCAGCATTACGCACTCTACAATTTCTGTAGAATGTTCACATTGATTTTATTGGATGAGACAGATTAAGTTAGATTTTTACTAAAATGTGCAGTTAAAAGGCATTTTTGCACATGACACTTTATCCATTTAGCTTGAAATAAAGTGTATTTTTTTCACTTAATTTATGCCACAAATATAAGAAAAATATTATCATAGGTATATTTTTGACCAATATATCGATAATCGCTGCATCATCATATCGTGAGCTTTGTATCGCACATCGTATCGTATCGTGAGGTTCCCTGAGTTTCCCACTGTTAGTGGACACGCTTGTTTTCGAACAGGGTGTTTGTTATGGACAACATTAAAAAAAAGCAATGAAAATAAATATATTACTTAGAATCTTCTCAAACTCATGAAGTCATAGGTAATTTTAAAACTTTTCCGATTCATTGAAACGATGACATTTTACAATGAAACTTTATTGCCCTTTCTCTATTTTAGTTATTCATATTCATGCAGAACTTACACATTCTGGGGCTCATACTTTTTAAAAAAAAAAATAGAGGTGAAATAACAAAATTCATAAAAGATTTGAATTATGTAGATTTAATTGTGGCAAAATTATACAATTCCATTCAATCAGTTGTTTTCTCTGTGTCAACTTGAATATGAAAGATATTAATATACTTTGTTCTGATCACAGAGAAAGATGGATTCAGAAGAAAGAGTTGCATGCACTGTAACGCATCGTTCCACAGTGGAGTCAGCCTCTCCAACCATCTCCGAGCGTGTGGCCGCCGCAAGAAGAACGGCCTTCTTGATGCGACCGGTGAGGACTTGTTTAATGAAGATGTCACATACATTTAGTTTATCTTGTTTTGTTGTGACAGGTTATTATTGGAGATTTGTTTTTATAACTACATGGATGTTTTCTATTTTAGCACATGATGGTAAAATTAGAAGACAACAAATGAGGCCAGTTCCAAAGAAGAAAATCCTGCCCCTCTCTCAAACCCCAGAGGAGAAGTACCGACTCACGTGCAGGTAATCATTTGTATAAGATGTTATATTGAATTATATTTGTGCTCAATTACTGGACATGTGTCTGAGTGAGGCAGAACCAGCGGTCAGATCCATGTCACGTTCCAATCTAGCACTTACACAATTATAGTTAATCAAATGAATGGATTTACATTTGTCCTGTGTAACCACTTTCATTAGCAAGACACACGACAATAGAATGCCATCAAAAGTATGTTTGTTGATGGAGGATATTTGAGGACATTTCCTGTGTAGCCCTTGTGAATTGAGGCTGCAGTACCGCAGGTGGCCTCCATGCTGCAGACTGGCTTCAGCTAGCAACACGCTATCCTGTTATTATAATGCGTCATCACCATTCATTTGAATACGGCGCCATCTTGGATCGCTGGGGCTTGATCCAATATATTTGTTTTTAATGCAGATTATAGCAGTTCAGTAAAACGTTTGACTGTGAGCAACAATGCCAATGCACACTGTTGTTTTAAGTTATTATTGTTGTATTGTTATTACATATTTTACTCTGTTCACACACACAGCACACAATTTCTGTTTAATGACAGAAACCTAACTTAATTGAATACTGCTCCAAAACTAACATTTTGTGCTGCACCAACACATTTATTATTGTCTTTTCTTATCAGGGATGTGTTTGTACTTGTAGATGGTCACATGATGGACATTCAGGTTTGGTGATTTGGTGAAGAGCTGCCAGAGAATGTTGTCGTTTTGATCACCGGTAGTTATGGTAGTAATGTCTTGGTCAAAGGGTTGAAAACGCAGCTTTTTGAATATTTGTGAGAAGTACTTTGTTAAACGTGGATATTTCTCCTGTACTGTGTGTAACATAGATGATGTCCCCACGTGGTTGCAGGTTCTGTGACCTGGTGTTCCAGGGCCCTCTGTCCGTCCAGGAGGACTGGGTCAAGCACTTACAAAGACACATAATGAACACCAGTGTGCCGAACACCGGCCTGGCCATGGTGGAGGTCAGATCTGCGCCCAAAGACCTCTCCACCAGGAAAGATGAAGACGGCAGCACCAGCGCCCCCTGCTGAGGCCCCTGGACCTGAGCTTAAGACTGTATGAGTATGTACATTGGAGGGACTTCCCTTTTAATAGATTATAAATTCTGGCCAAAACACAGTGAGGTGTCAACTGGACTCTTGTGACATGTCGCCGCCATCTGTTTCCGCTGTTACACATGTTTGAGGAGGTTCAACTGAACCAGTTTTGTTTTATGCAGTAAACAACGTAGTGTGGATCCATTTTAACAAGACAACTTTTACCTCAGAGTTTCATGGGCTGAAAACATTTTGTCCAGCTGTATTCCATATGAAAGCTACATTTATAAAGATACTAATGGTTAAAGCTAAAATGTAAGACTGTAATTTGAAAGAAACCTGCACAATAAGACGTGTTACATCCAACTTTAGTAACTTCATTTTAATATAGAACCAACTCTAATACGCACACTCTTCATGAAGCATTAAATGTTTTAAATATACCTTTTGGATAAATTCATTTTCACTATATCACAAAACATTTGTGTTGTTCTAAATAAAAAAACAAGTACATTTTAAATGTCTTCTTCTCTGTAAACATGAAACTGACGACTGTGGATCCTTCTTGAATCGTGCCGTTCTTCAGTTAAAGAAAAACTCTTGTTTCTTAAATTATAAATTTATTGGTGAAAAGAAAAAGTGGTTTATTAGAAAACATTATCTTTGCTTTATTGTAGAGTTCAGAGAGAAGTTTCTGAGCAACTCTAACTTTTCTGTTTGAGAAACCTGTTTTAAACTGTGTTTGGAGTCAAAAGGAACTTTTGTCTTTGAGGCGATGATGCCTTGTTCCAATTGAAAATCTGTTGCCAACCACAAACATCGAGCAAAGTTATTTTACCCAGTGAGGAGTCAGTGTCACTACGTTTCTGAAGATGAGGAAGACTGTGCCTCAGGTTTCACAATAAAAACAGACAAACATTTCATTAAAAAAGAAAAGTGTTTCCAATCCTCTTGGTTTTACTCATTCAAATGGACTCACACCCTGTGGAAGAGAAGATATCATTACTTACATGAATAGAGTGTACAGAGTAAAAATTCCCAATTAAGAATTAAGTAAGATTTTGGTTAAAGCTAAATTTTCCCTTTAAAAAAATAACGGAAATTCTATGTTAAAACATTAAAGTTTATCTGATAAAAATAAATTCCCACATGTGGAATATGATCAAGTGCAAGGACTCATTACGTGTGTGTATGTACTTAAACACATGTTTAAACTAGTCACTAAGACAAAATCCTCAACTTTCACGTAAGGTTAGATAAATTGCAATTCATGAATGCAGAAGCACCAATTATCACTGAGGTAGATGTCGACTCACTGATCAAGTGTGAGCCCAGAGCTACTGAGATTCTCACCGTAGTCGGATTTAACACCGACAATAGTTTTCTACTTCAAATGTTTTTCTCGCGGAACAAGGTGTGAAATATTCCCTGTTGACGCACGTCGGTGAAAATGCTGCAGAGGGAACGTATGGAGCACTGGATCGATTTATTCTTGCCCGATAAATTGGAATGAATGTTTTAACGTACAACTAGCTCGTTTTAAATGAGTTCAGTAAATTTCAAGATAATTTCTATTTTTTTTAACACATTCGAGAAAACTATTAAAGTACAAGTTACAAGGGTGAACATGTGATATTCATAATCCTGACATTAACCCTCTCCAGGCAGACGTTGCAGATTTGCAACAACTTCATTTCTTATCACCTAACTACTCCACAGCCATGGGTTTTTCCCCTGGGTCAGCTCTATTAATGTTGCAAATCGGCATCATCTCAGAGAGCATTGCCTGTGAACGTTTATCTCTCAAAAATAGTCAGGATTGTATATTAATACACTCACTATAAGATCATTTTCCCCAAATATCAGATTTTTTTTTGGTCATTCTAATTTAATTGGGCCCAAAGAGGGTTAACGTCAATTTACTACTTTTACTTACTTTGTCAAAAACGTCTAAAGGTTTGTTCCGTTTGCAGTTTGTCTCACCTTACTTAACAATCCTGTTTTTTGTTGTGGCTTTTTATATTAAATATGCAAGGAGTAACTTAGAATGAAACTAGCAATAAATATATTCCCAGTTTGAATTCTACACAACGGAGATGTTACTAATTTTCTAATGAGATCCTTTGAACAATACCAAACGTATCTTTACCTTAACAAAGGCCTGAAACTGTGGCATGAGCTGCTCCATCATCGTACTGGCTTTATCAAGACATAACCGCCTCTGTCTGGCCTCAAACTCCTGTGGATATAATTCAATAAAAGGCGTCAGAAAAGTGTGATCAAAGGTAATCGCCCGCATCATGTTTACCTTTGTGCTGTTCCTGTGTTGTTGTGTGGAGATGTGGTTCTTTACGGCCGGGGCAGACGTGGGGACGAACACGTTGCAGGGCGCACAGTGGAACATTTCCACCTTAGTCATGTGATCGTACTCCTGCAGTGCTGGGTAGAACAGAAATAAATACATGAGGAAAAACTAAAATCAAGGTGAAGGTAGAGGTGCACTTTATTGACCCCCGTAGGGCAATTCATCCTCTGCATTTGACCCATCCTGATGACACCAAGGCTTACGCCAGGAGCAGTGGCCGCCGTAGTTGCGCCCGGGAACCCATCTCCAGATGTTGATGCTCGGCTTGGTCAGGACCAGAGTTGGATGATTTAACCTAGTGAGCATGTTTTAGTGGTAGGGGAAACTGGAATACCCGGAGGAAACGTACGCAAGCACAGGGAGAACATGCAAACTCCACTCAGACAGACCCCGTTCCGACCGGGATTCGAGGGTTTCAAATAAGAGATTCGAAAAAGGTGCACAATATGTAAAATAAAGAGAAATCTGCGCAGCTAGCCCGAAACGTCACGATCGTAGTCTGTAAATAAGACACTTGGGAGCTACATATAAAAACACACAGAGCCATTGGTCCATAAGAAGCATATGACCATAATTGTTGTTGAATTACAGATGGGAGTCATTTTGTTCTGTTCAGCCTGGTAAATATATAAAACTCTTGCATACGATTATCATTTTCGTCCGATCCCAAAAACAAATCACTGAACTGACCTTGGAGAGCAGTGTGATCAATGGCTCGACTGCACTTCTGGCTTTTGTACAGCATCACGTCCTGGAAAGAGTTTAAATATATACACCTTACTTTTACTTTTAAAGACGAAGACATCCTTTATCCGTCCCACAGTGGGGAGAGTTTTGTTTAGTATCGCTAGTTACAGAACAGTAGGAATGAGGAGCATACAGCACAAGATATACATTGATAATAACTACTAAAATATTAAAATAAGTATTGGTGGTTCGTTCATAGTTTGAGAACCACTGCTCTATGGTGCTCAATGTAACACCGTGCCCCCAAAAAGGAGCTGACTATTTGAACACATTTTTATGTAAGCATTGAATATCATTACAAAGCTAAATGTACAAACAAACGCTACAGACTCTGGAATCAAGGAAATGTATTTATAAAAATTGTCTTATTATTTAAATATGATTAAGTAACTAATTTCAAGGAATTGCCAAATGAGGAAAGATTTACAATTAGTAGGTATCAAATTGCAAACGCCATTTTTGCAGTGTAGTAGATCTATGCATGTATCAATAATGTTGAACAGGAAAGGCCACTAAAAACTAAAATGAATGCGTCAGTTTGCAGATGGTTGGACACTCAAGATGAAAATGATGCATCCAAGTGAAAAGATTTATGATGTCGGTGGGTGCAAAAGGGGTGTTGGGTTTTAAATCTGTATGCTTTAGACCTTTTATGCACGTGTTCACCCCGGCTTCCCACGTGACTGCACAATTATAACACCTGCTTCTTGAGTATGAAAAGCAGAACTGGGGAGAAGGGAAGGAGAAGAGAAGCGGCGAGAGAGACACTGTGGCAGACACGACTCCCAGGCCATGGCCACGAGAACCGGAACCAGAGGACTGAGCAACAAGCAGTTTTTCAGACATGATTTTAACCCCTTTTTATGGATTTTTATTGAATGATTTTACCCATCTTGTAATCTCTGGCTTTTAACTGATGGTCCTTTTCAAACTGGGTCAACGTACCTCATTTACCACTTTTGACAATAACATGGTTCTTTCTGCTTCATAGTAATAATTTATGACATTTGAATCATTATCATTGCTATCAACTACATCTGGAATCTCAATATTGAACCAAAATGATGTCATGAAACAGACATGACACTTCCAAATTCTCTCATTCTGGGTGTTTTGCTTTTATGCATTTTCTTATATCTGTTGGTGGAGTTTGGGAGAGTGTTACCTGGAGGAAGGCGATGGCCATGTCGTCGTATTTGTTGTTCTTTTGGATGAACTCCAGCGTGTCCCAGTGAGTCTTGCTGTCCAGATGCTCCTCCAGCTCCTGCCCGTTAGAGACCTCCACCTCACACAGGTCACAGCTCATCAGGTTCCTGAAGGTTGAAAATAAAAAAAAAACTGTTTACTAAACTGACAGACAGAATACAGTAACTCCAATACTCCTTTTACTTTATCCTGCTGTGTTGGCGTGACTGTGAGCAAGGGACTAATGCACAATATCCTTCGGGATCAATAAAGTATTTATCCAACTATCATCAGGATTAAATCTCAATTCAAGATCTCGTGGTTTGACAACTTATTTCACTCAAAATATTTTTTCCCTGAGAAAACAAGGCACCATTGCTCTGTGCACGTTGAAAGCAGATATTAAGCGCTTTCTGTGTGGAGTTTGTATGTTTTCCCCACGTCTGCATAGGTTTCCTGCAGGTGCTCCGGTTTCCCCTACCATAAAAACATGTACAATGGAACTGGCAATCTCTGTGTGGAGAGAGAGAGACAAATGCCCACAACAATTTTAAAGCGCTTTGTGTCTGTGAAAGGTGCTATATAGATAAAGATTACTGACTTACTTACATGCTTTTAGGGCAAGATAAAAATCACGGTGGTTTATTTTGTGAAAACATTTTGACACACTACCTGTCATGGCCTAGCCCCTCAAGTGACCCAAAAAAAAGATGAAATGATGTCAGGTAAATAATTTTGTGCTATTTTCCATCCAGCATTTAAAATAAAATAAAAAAATCAATGTCAGCCGATGATTTATTGATATAATAATAAACAGGAAACTGCTTCTACCTCCACGTGTTCAAAAGGGGATTCAAAAACGCCCTCTAAATTTATATATTTTGCACATGAGCACTAGATATGACGAAGGTGGTTACCATAGAAACCACAAAAGTAAACAATGGGCAAGGTCATCACCAGATTGCACTGATCCATCCATGTCTGTGTTTTCTCTTTGTGTGTGTGTATGAAAAAGGTGTAAAAGATGAACACACACGCACACGCACACGCACACGCACACGATTTCTCTTGTGTGTGCCAAGACTAGTGCATGTATTTTGGGAGAAAACCTTGCTTACTTACTTTTCAGTTAGCAATGCGTTTTTGCTGGGGGCCTGCGCCTCTGGTCTGGGAGGTGGACCCGAGCCTGGAACAGTTAGTTAGAAATGACAGACTGCTTTATGTAACGGACACTAACTTTACACATCATTCACCTGCTGCAAACCCAGAGGACTGAGGGTAGTTGCGTTGTGATGGCGGTGGTTTGAGTATCGATGGTGGCAGATGCGGCGGTGGCAGATGCGGTGGTGGCAGATGCGGCGGAGGCAGATATTGTGGGGGTGGCAGATGTTGTGGAGGTGGCATCTGGTGCGATGGAGGTGGCATCTGGTGCGATGGAGGTGGCATCTGGTGCGATGGAGGTGGCATCTGGTGCGATGGAGGTGGCATCTGGTGCGATGGAGGTGGCATCTGGTGCGATGGAGGTGGCATCTGGTGCGGTGGAGGTGGCATCTGGTGCGATGGAGGTGGCATCTGGTGCGGTGGAGGTGGCATCTGGTGCGGTGGAGGTGGCATTTGCTGCGACGGTGGCATTGGCGACTAGAGGCAACACACATAGAGCATATAGTAAGAGCGGACTGACCTAATCACCCATAGTGTCACCTATAGTGTTTTCCGGGAATGTGGAAAAAGCCAATTTGAACGAGCGTACTTTTCCTTATATGGGCATTTGTTCGGACAGGGTTTGCTTCGAGTTTTAACATGGACAGACGTGTTGCTAACATGGTTGCTAAGGATTGGTTAATCCTCATGGCTCATTGGTTAAGAAGCATTTACAGCTACTTATCTCTGTATATGCTATGGACCAATGGCTCTATGTGTTTTTATCAAGTCCTCCGAGATAACTATTGTTGTGATTATTTAGGGCAATACAAGAATACATTGTATTGAATTGAATAGATGGCGATTGACTTAGTGAGCACCCCAGATCTACAGTCTATGGGTAAACACAACTTTCTTTAAGTACAAGACATCTTCACTACATCATCAGTACCTCTGGCCGATAGCCGTCAGCCATGTGCTCCTCCGTCCTCCCTCCAGAGCTGTAGCCGCCTCTTTCTGCAGATTCTGTGTTTTGAGCGGAGAACAGTGGACGGTCAGGACTTAGCGACTGACTCCATGAGTCCGTCTCCCAGCCACTCCTCGACTGCTGCCTGTCCTCAAGCTTTTCTTCAGATGGGTGGTCCTCCGAGTCGGACTTGAAGGGGTCGTATAAGTGAGGCCTGGATAGCATTGGAAAGGAAACATGTTATGATTTAAAAAAAACGTTCATACACCACTTAGGTACCATACTTTCTTGACTATAAGTTGTACCACCTAAATTTGAAAACACAAAAAAAAATGATAGGGTATTAAACAGTTATAACAGTTAAATTATTAAACCATTAGCTTTGATGACTCATTCCCCCGTATTTCGACAACAAACAAGTGTCCTATAATTAATTAAACTTGATGGAGTCCAAATAATAATAATGGGTTTTCCCTATGAGTTTTGACATTTTTCAACATGTGTTCTATATTCTTTATGTGTCTTAACTGTTGATTCTCTGATCTGTGTTGGTGATTTCAATGGTTTTGTTAAGTCTCTGAGATGATACTGCTGTGATTTAGGGCTATACAAGAATAAATTGTATTGTAAATTGTATAAGTCCACAACCTCTGCTCTGACAACTGTAACTTTAGAAAATTACATGACATATTAGATGTTTAAAAAAATGTGGTTGTAAACTTCATATATATATAGTGCACCATGTTTGAGACCAGAACATTTAGGCAAAAGGGGGAATATCAGTAGTAAAAAGCGAGCTAAAGACAACTGTGATAATATGTTACATAATATTCTGTTGTGATAATATCTCCTGTGAGTTAGTCAGGTGTTTTTACATGTGTCTTCTGTCCGGAGACCTTTTGTCACTGCTGGATTCCTCGTTGATTTCATCATCTGCAACTGTCTCAAATGATGATTTCCATCTGTTATTCTCGGGACCAACTGCAAAACAAAATATTCAAAAAAATGAGTCAGTTATTATTCATTTATTTTTTAAAATATATACACAATTGTCTTTATTTGCATCATGGCAGAAGGCAATGACAATTCAAAACAAAAAAAGATGCCCCAACGACAGCCAAAAAAATGTTCTCAGCAAACAACAAATATCATACATGTGTCAATCCATAAAAAAGGCAAAACAAAAGAAGATGGATAAACAAGAATATCCGACAGACCAGACATAGACAGAGAGTGCTACAGACACAGACAGACAGACAGGACACAGGCACAGACTGACAGACAGACACAGACACAGACAAGACACAGATAGACCCAGACAGACACAAACATGACACAGACATGACACAGATAGACCCAGACACAGATATGACACAGACAGACTCAGACAGATAAGACACAAACAGACAGACAGAGACAGACCAGACATAGACAGAGAGAGAGACATACAGAGACACAGACATGACACAGACAGGACACAGATATAGACAGAGAGTGAGACAGACACAGACAGATAGACAGGACACAGAAATTACACAGACAGACACAGACATGACACAGATAGACCCAGACACAGATATGACACAGACATGACACAGATAGACCCAGACACAGACATGACACAGACATGACACAGATAGACCCAGATACAGATATGACACAGACAGACTCAGACAGATAAGACACACAGACAGACAGAGACAGACCAGACATAGACAGAGAGAGAGACATACAGAGACACAGACAGACACAGACAGACCCAGACAGATAAGACACACACAGAATGAGAATGGGAGTGAATGTCTGTGTCTTGCCAGTTATTATTTATTTGTTAGCTAGTAAAAGTAACTCACATGTTTTTTGAGGACCAGGGGGTACTTTTGAAGTTTGAGGTTGATTAGGTTGGCCGGTGTCTTTGCTCTGATTCTTTTGGAAATCCTCTGGTTCCCTGTTTGAAAACAGACAAATCAACACTCAACGTAAATTATATATACATCATGATCATCATCAGAGGAGGAGGACCCGTCTACGCAATCTTTTATTTTTGTATTATTATTTTTAATAAAACAGACACAGACAGATACAGACCCAGCCAGACAAGAGGACAGAGACAGACAAGACAGAGACAGACAAGACACAGACAGATACAGACACACCCAGACAAGACATAGACATAGACAGAGACAGACAGACAAGACACAGATGGAGACAGACCCAGCCAGACAAGACACAGACAGAGACAGACAGACAAGACATAGACAGACTGAGAATTGGAGTGTTCTGTCTGTGTCTTGTCAATTATTATTTGTTTTTTAGTTAGTAACTCACATGGGAACGATCTACTTTGAGGGAATATTTCTATGACAGGTTCATGGAGATTCAAGAATGCTTACGGTTATACTGCCATACTATTATCAACTATGATATGATTTGGCTTTAAAGTTACACAGTGTGGCTTTAAATGAATAAAACAGCTAACAACCATAGCATGATCCCAGTACTAGTCATTAGGTTATTACTTTTGCAGGAGATATTTCACAAACTTATGCTAATGCAATTGCTAGCGGTCGTTAAAGTGTGGCCTGATTCAAAGTCAATGCATCATTTTCAAAACGACATAACGTGACTGTGCTATTGTTATGCTAGCACCATTAGCATAACATCTTATTTACTTGTTTTCTTACCTCCCATGTCCAGAGCCGAAGTTCTGTCCCCTGCTAGCCCCCAGCGGGACATTAAAACGTGGTCGGTACATGTTACAAATATATGAAAACCAAGCAGGATTCTGTGATAAACTGCTGTGTACAGACCACAGCAGGTTAACTTTAGCTTTAGCTTTAATACATGTGTCCAGCAGATGGCAGCAGTGTCGGGATTTCAAACGTCTACAAACTTGTCAGAGAAAAAGTTTAGACTGAACTGAAAGAACGGTTAAACTGAATTCAACGTATACATACATGTGTTTTTGTTGCTATTTGTTTACGTTATGGGATTATATTACACTAATATGTTAAACCCCAAGACTGGAGCAACTCCCTAAAAAACAGCTCGTATGTCAAAATATAAAATGTTTTCTATTAAGATAAATACTGATTACGCGCGCTCTGATTGGCTGATTTGCGGTCTGATATTTTCCCCATCTCGGACCGTTACCATGACAATTGGTCCGCAGCGCGTATCGCATTTGATATCTTTCTTCTGTAAAAAAAAAAAAAAAAAAAAAGAAATAATGGGCGACGACTGGGAGCATTCTCCAGTGAATTCTATTATCTGGAAGAGTTTGAAGAGCCAGAGGAAATAATTACAGAAAATAACGACAAAAACACAACTTCTAACAGTCCAGATGAGATTGACAACTTCGTTACAGATCAGAAAGCCAAAAACACAATTCGGAAAACCAAGTCGGAGATCGATATTTGCATAAATTAAAAATAGTCATATAATAAAACTTTTATTAACCTCGCTTGCTCAGTTAATAAGCCGTTAATATTGTGGTTTGATTTGTTCGCAAAATTTTACAGCAGCACTGATTCTGTTGGGAAACCCTAGATCAGTTAATAAATCAAAATCGAGTCAGGTACTCTAGCTTTACCCCCAATAATGTATTTATATGTAAGCCTCCATCAATTTTCTTCCCCTTAATCCATTTCTGGGTTGGGGGAGTGGCAGTTAGAGGCTAGGACCAGACCCTCATTGATCCTCCTGCAGCTGGTGAGTCCATAGGGGCCTTGATCTTTCAGTGGGGGCTTCAGGCAAAGTGTGGCTGAGTGTCAACAACAGCAGTCATCTCTGGGAGTCGTGGAGTAGGTCTTGCAGTGAGCTTGAACCCACAACCTTCAGGCTCAAAGGCCAATGCTCTACCAACTGAGCCACTGTCAACCCTTATATCTTCTACAGGATTACATAATATGTACAGTATACTATCATACCAGTTCAAACTATTTAGTTATTTATGACAAATAATAGAAAAAGCTCCTCTTCAGTGATTTCATACTGACTAAGCAGATAATGAGACTGAGCAAAACACACCATGATTAACCATTATTCAAGATTGATGACAACAATACTAATCTATGTACATTTCTGCATCAATAGTTTCTTTAAAAAATAAAGAAACCTGAAGTTAGATCAAATTAGTGGTTGGTGTCATCTTGACTTGAATATAATTGGATTTGGCAATCAAAACAATCTCTTGAATCTGATGTCAAATAGTTTTAAGTTTCAGGTCAAAATGTTCTAATCCTAGCCCTGTTCATTTGTGTCAATCAGTTATTATTGTTTTTTAACTGTCACAATTATTTATTTATTACTGTTGATTTAATACTATTATCAATTAATAAAATAATCATCCTCACTTTACACTTCAACGAATGCATTTTTTGTTTGCATTGTTAATTGTCGCCGTAAAGATGGTGCTGTGGTACACACTGGGGTACTCTTGCACAATTTTTCCAATGTGGTTTTACTGCAAATGGCAAATGAATTCTTGTATCTTAAGAATGTATTTCTCCATGTGTTCAAGTTAAAAACAAAGAGACTAGTCTGTCATTTCTTTGCTGATGGTGATTTCATCAAGATAACTGCATTAAAAGTGTTCAGCTTCCATTAATTGAGGCCTCCAACATGTTGCTTTGTGATGGCTGTGTGAAGGACGAGCCAAAGTTCACACAAATACATTATCTTTATTATCATTGTGTTTTCCTCTCGTCTGTTCATTCATTCAAAGGGTTAACCAGTGCATTATTAATAGCCCCACATGTTTAACTGTGCCATAAAAAAATGAACTTTTAGCTTTTTGCAGAGTACCACACTTTCAGGCAACGGTAACTGGGTCAATGCAATGTGTTGAATAGTTCATAATAATATATTTAAATATTTAAATCACATGGATGGATGGATGGATGGATAAGTAATATATCCACATCAAAAAGAGTACAGTTAACCTAAAATGTACCGAAATGTAAAGTAAGTAAGTAAGTTTTAATTTATATACCGCCTTTTCACTGCAGATCTGAGTCTCAAAGCGGTTTACAATTGTTAATTTTTGGGCATTTGTCTCTCACTCCACACAGAGATGGGAGGGGCCAGTACAGGAGGCACATGCCAGAACTATTGGACATATTTTTAGTGGTAGGGGAAACCGGAGTCCCCGGAGGAAACCTACGCAGACACGGGGAGAACATGCAAACTCCACTCAGAAAGGCCCTGGTCCGACCGGGATTCGAACCCAGGACCTTCTTGCTGAGAGGCGAGAGTGCTATCCACTCAGCCACCGTGCCGCCCAAAAAGTCCTTGCAGAAACAAAATACATATTTGGTCTTATTTTGGTTTCAGAACTAGACTTGAGAAGCATTTGTGGTAGCCTTAGATTAGAGGTGTCTAAGTTAAATACATCAGAGGCCAAAAATACACACATTTCCTAAAAGCCGAGGGCCGGACTGGTTCAATGTTTATTTAAACTTAATAAAATGATTGCATATAACCTATTGAACCAAGACTTAACACATTGGACCATATTGTATTTAATGATTAAATTAATAATTTTTGTTCAGCTCTGTCAATCATTTTAAGTGAAAACATTTTTCAACAGCTCACAGACAAAAACAAACTTCCTTCACAGAGAAAACACATGTCCTGAACATTAAATGAATAATCCAATATTTTCTTATGGCTCTGTGCGGCCGGTTCTAACACCAATCAAGTCAACTATCATTCCGTGGGCCAAGATAATTCATTCGTGGGCCGGATCTGGTCCCCGGGCCTTGACTTTGACACCCTTGCCTTGGGTGGTGACACATTAGTTTAGTAAGATTGCTCTCTATTGACCCCTTACACTCATTTCGGTTTAAAAGTAAAGTAAGTTAGGAGTCCTTTTGTTCACATATTTTAGCGCCTCTAATTTTCATATAGATAAAAAAAATCTGGACCGATGCATCCACATTCAGTTACCTCACTTTTGAAAGCACTGAACTAAGTGACTGGAGTAGGGATTCCCACATCAATACCTACAGATCAGGTGCGTAGGAAAGGCCTGTGTAGCCTAATGTGATAGAGAGAAAGATTCCCGCACACCAACTTACTTGAAAATTAAAAAATATATATATTGATGAAGGCATAACGCCGAAATGTCGCACCTCTAATAAATTGTTTTTAATTTGGGAATCTGATAGCACTGTACTAGAAACATATGTGAAGTATTTTCTCATCACAAAACACCACAACTAACGACCAAACAGGCCAAAATAAGTATTGTTATGACTTTCTATCACAGTCTATGTGTATACATTAGTAACTCCCATCACCCCCTGCATGGTCTATGTGAACAAAACATACTCAATACATACGGTTTCTGCAAAAACAAGAGTAGACAAGAAGCAACAGTTTATTATTATAGTTTCGTTACATAATAAATCATAGGAAAATCTGTCATTTCTAGTCGTATCACACATTCAAACACGGCCTAAAGAGGTTTCCCTTTTAGTTGCGTGCCCTTTGGACAGGCCTTTGTTGTGACATTTGGTCTTAATTTTGTGCGTCTGGATTAATAGTACAGGCTTCACGTTACAATCTCTATCAAAAAAAAGTTGTATTTGCTCTCCGTCTTTGACAGTCAGTGTTCATCCTGGTATTGAAGCATGGCATTTGTGCAATAATATAGTCTGTTCTCTCGTCAAAAGCAAAGACAGCAGCGATTAAGGCAAAAAGATTGTTCCCATGGTGTTGAATACCTGAGCGCCTACAGTGTCCGTGATGTTGGAGAAAACAGTTTTGGTCATAAAAGCAGTGCAAACTAGTTTTCTATCGCGTCAAATAGTGTACATACATTCATATTATAATAAAGCAAAGCAATTATTAGTGATGCTTAAAAATAATAGAAAAACAACAAGATAATATATGAAAAATTACAACATGACAGTGATTTTTTCTTTCTTTTTTTGTGAAATTAATTTATAAAGCCTGACCTGCAGCTTGACCACTCAACACTAACACACTATGTGCTTTATGATGTTATAGTAGTGAAATCAAGAATACAGTAAGTTTATTCTACTTTACTTTTAACTATTGGAGACTAAATGGCTTGGAATGTTTATGTTCTGATTGATGAGATCTATAAAAGATCTCTTCGGTTCAATATAAGTGTCAGCGGCTCCAAAACAGGGCGGTCTATTGTCGCCTGTTTTCAGAAGACTATGCCATGATTGTCATAAATATCACACTAATATTAATCATAATATTAATAACAATAATAAAAGTTAAAATGTCCTGGCTTCCTAACTTAAAGGTATATAGGAGAATTTTCTACTTCTGGGTGGATCATCAAGACTATTGGTCCTCTTAATTGTCAATCATTCTGGTGATACAAGCTCGTCAAATAAGACCAGAGAGATTTGTTCAAAAAGTGGAGAGGGCGGTTTCTTCTTAAAGTTTGGGGAAAATCCTCCTATAGACCTTAAATCCAGGCTTCATTAAATGTGCTTTCTGAACCGGACTACAGTTACATTACAACTGCATCTAGAACAATGGTTTCAAGCACTTTTTTTCTATGCTACTTGAACTGGAGACCCCTCAAGCCCCACTGTCTAAAACAGGGCCCCCACAAACACATGACTGGGGTCCAGCCCCCGGTGACAGAATGCTCACTCGTCTGAATATGAGTGCAACTATTTCAATCATGAAATAAAGCCTACTAAAACCACGGGGGCACTGGCAGATTTACAGACACCCATATCAACAAGAGTGTGTCGTGAGTACCACCATATCATCTCAGATTACAATAATATTCCATTATGGGTTCTAAAAACAAAAACACATCCCTATTCTTGCTCGTAGATCAGCCTGTTCTGGAGTCACACCACCTGCTTTGTCTCCAGAGACGCTATTGCTCTTCCTGGAATGTTTCACTGCATGACATTAAATCTGAAAATCTCATAAGAATCTCTCCATGGAGAACGGTAAGTATTGCTTTAGCCTTAAACCTGGAGTCGTGCAGGTGGTGCGGCTACAACCAGAAATGTTACATCGTGTCGCTTTAAGATCATCTAAGACCTTCCCACTTTGAGTATTACCTCATTCCTACTACAAGCCACTAGTAAAAGACACATTAGTCTCCCTGCTGATGCTCTCCTTCACCTCCTGTGGCAGCGTCTCAAACAGATGGTCCTCCACCACCAGCGCACTCTTCCGGAGGAGTCTGCAGTTGCCCAGTGCTGCCGGGAGTCTGTCCAGGCAGTTCCCCCTGAGCTCCAGCTGCGTCAGTTGCACAAGCTGCCCCATGGTTTCAGGGAGAGTGGTCAGCGCGTTGTGGGCTAAGCATAACACTTTGAGCTTAGTGCATCTGAACAGCTGCTTGGGGAGCACTTCAAGCTTATTCATATTAATGGCAAGATATTGGAGGTTGTGAAGAAGGCCGATGTCCGGGGGAAGTACCGAGATGGAGTTATGGCCCAGGTCCAAGTGGCGGAGCTTGGGTAGAGTGAACAATGCAGGGGGTAAAGACTCCAACTTGTTATGGTTCAGATGGAGAGCTTCCAAAGACTTGACTTGTGCGATTGATGAGGGAATGTTGGTGATTTTGTTGTGCCAAAGTTTCAGACAAGCTAACCTCTTAAGATGCTGAAAACTAATGATCTCTTCAATAGTCCGAATGTTGTTTAGTTTCAGATCCAGCTCTTGCAGGTTGATCAAACTGAAAATGGCGTGAGGGATCCGTTCAAGTTCACAGTTGTGAAGCTCCAACTCAATAAGGCTCGTCATTTTCTTTAGACTGTTCAAAACCATTAACTTGGTACCGTCATTGTGGATGACCAGTTTAATCAAATGTGGTGAGAGTTCTGTGATGTTAGTGGGCATTTTTGTGAGGTTGCTTTTTAAACAGAGCGTCTTGAGGTGTCTTAAATCTCGCATAGATTCCAATCCAATCATTTTGTTGTTTTCTGAGTTCAAGTTGCCGATGAGATTTAGCTCCCTCAAACTTCTCAATAAGTAAACCCAACCTGGTATCTCGGCAACGTCTGTGAATTTGACATGAAGGCACCTTAAGTGGTCTCGGAGAAATGCAAAACCCGTCTGCTCCACTTTGGCAGGGCAGTGGCACAGATGCAGTTCTAGCAAACTTGTCATTTGTGACACTTTAGCAGTGAATCTTGCGTCAGGAATGAGCTCCAGTTTGAGAACCTCCAGATCTGTGAGGTCAAAAACCGCATTCGGTAAACCTGAAAGCATGAAAAGATGCAGCTCCAGCTGGTCTTGCGGATTGCGAGTCACGAGTTGTCTTAATTTCTCAAAGGTCCATTCGTGATTCAAGCTGATCTCTCTCAACTTGTTCTCGCTGACTTCAGACAAGAAAACGCCAAATCTTTTGGAGTAGAGCTGGTCGTATTGGTCAACCATGTGTAAAAGGAATGCAAAGTCGTTCTTGACGTCAGGAATGTCGCTGAAGCTACTCTCTTCGCGTACTTTTTCAAATGAGTACTCCTTCAGAGGTCTGCGGAACACCCAGAACAGCGAATACAGGCACGTCATCCCGTAGATCAAAATCAACGCCATATAGCTAATGAGCAGCTTGTTTAGCATGAAAGCCAGGTTGTGTGTGCAGAAAAATCTACTGTAGCCCGTAAGGTGTTGAATATCAGGCTTACATTCATGTTTGAAGTTGATTTTAACCAGAAACGTTGACGTGTAGGACAATATCAAAATGAACTTGGCCGTTTTGACAATGGTTTGAGCGACGTACAGCTTGTATATGAAGTCGCTGTCCTCCACGTGGGCTCTGAACTTACGAACTTTCTCGAACAGTGCCTTGGCTTGCTCTCCGTCTTTCTTGTCCAGGATTGTCATTGTGCTGGGGACCTCTGTGATGGGTTTGTCTGCTGACACTTTCACCCCCAGCATTGGCGTGGAGGGACTTGGATTCGCACCGTCCTCTTTCTCTTCCTGCGATACTTGCTTCGGACCGGATGCCGCATGGGTTAGCCTCTGCTTGTTTTCCTCAGAGTCCTCGCAAGCAGTTTCGGACAACGCTTTTGTCGTCCACGGGGATTCGAAGCAACGCCCGAGGATGGAGACAAAGTGTTCGATCTTTGAGCTAGTTTTGGGGTACTTGAACCAAAAGTTGCTGCTGACCATGAGTACAATTGTATGGATGAGAGTCAGATATGGGAAATACTTGGAATACCATGGCAAGGCTACGTGGTAACAAATCTGGTTGATAAAAATGTACTGCTGAAAGTCTAGGTTGGTTTTCTTGCCAGTGGGTTGAGGTTGGGCGACGTTTTGGCGAGGTTCTACGTAGGTATTGTGGAGTTCGTGAACGACCGAATCTGGTAAGTCTTTGGTCTCCATGGAGGCAGGGGTGACGAGGGGCGCAGTGGTGGAGGGGGAGGTTCCCTGGGGAGTGGAGAGTGTTTGGGGGGTGCGCTGAGGGAAGCTCTCGGAGTCCTCCAGGTAAGGCAGGCAAGCCACCTTGTCGTTGGTGATCTGCATGGTCATGGCAAAGATGGCCAGCATCAGCATGACCAGTCCCAGGTAGTCCATGAACACGTCCCACCATGGCTTCAGGATGCGGTACGTGGGTTGGATGTCGTTCAGCGAGGCTATCTCCGTCAGGGTAAACATCACTGCAACAGAGAAGCGACAAGCATTTGTTAACTTTTATATCCTACAAATATCCACATAATGGGGAAGGCACATATACGCTCTTGCTTCGGCCTTCGCCTTTGGTACATATCATTTCAGAGAGTTTCTTTCTTGAAATCATATGCACTGCTCAAATGAACTACTTCTACAATCCTTACATGTAATGTGACGCCAAAGTGTTTGGAAATGATTATGGACTACAGTCAATTTTTTAAAAACAGTTTCTCTACTCACTCATGCATCCTCCCTTGGCCTCAAAGTTTGGCGACAAAATATCGTTGTGTTTGAAAAAGATCATTCCAAAATTGAGATCGGTCAATCTTGGAAAAGAAAAACTTCCCTGAGAAAAGACCGCTTTAGCAGTTTTATTAAAGTTTAACAATGGATCTAAAAAGCACTCGCATGCTACGTTTTAAAAGAAAATACTCTCCATGTGTTGTAGCAGTTTAAGGTTAGTACTATTTTAACTGGTCACAACATGATTTAGAAGTAGCTTTCATGCTGGTACTCATTCACCAGTTCATTTTGACAACAAACTGTGTCCCATAGCTACTAAAACTTAAAAATAAATTACGGTATTTATATATTTTTTGGCATTGCACATTACAGACTTGTTTGATGTCCATTTCTGTTTCGGTCTCGGACACCAAAGCATCAAATAACAACACATGTTTTTGTAATTCAGTAAAAGCCATTGATTTGTTTATATCCATCTGGGGTCATGTTCAAACGTATGCGGTCTGATGTAACCTATACTCTACTCTGCTTTTCAATTAATTCAATAGTGTTTTAATCCCATTTTTATGAAGCACTTGATAACTACAACAGAGTTACATGGCACAAGACCAAAGGGCAAGTTCAAGAGTAAAGTGCGCTTGGCAATAACTGACAATCTGAGGAGAATGAGAACCCAAAGTCTAGACAGGGGATAAATGGCTACTACTTTTACCAATGACCCAAATTAGAGTTGGTAATGGATCGTCTTGTCCTTTTCGCTGGAAGGACTTTGACAAATGTCGCAAACTGGCAGAGAGCAGAGGAGAGGCGCCTGGATGTGTGAGGCTGAGATAGAAGAGTCATTGTGTGCATTATATATCGTTGGCATGCGACGACGTACGGCCCCCTGTTACAGAGGTCATTCCCGTAATACAATGTGTGCGGGATTATAGATGTGAGAACCAGATCCACATGACTCCACTCATTCTGAACAAGTTAGTGTCAAAAAATTATGTAATTCGGGAGTTGGACGAAAAGATTAGCTCTGCTGTCGTGAAATTCTCTTGTTTCTTTGTGCAGTCCGTGATTTTTCAGTTCGAGGACAATGGTGGTGATGCTGGACACTCGACATTAAACGACAATTATGGACTTTATCAACGTTTGTGGACATTGGTCATCTGCCCCTGATGAACCAACGGCTCTATGTGAATTTGCATCAATGAATTTTTTGTGTGTGAACTGTTTGATTCTCTGATCTGTGTTGGTGAAGTGACGGTTTTGTTAAGACCTCCGAGATAACTACTATCGTAAATTAGGGCCGTACAAAAATGATTTAAATTGGTAGCATAAGGAGTTTTTTTTATACATGCGTCGCCATATATTTTTTTACTTTTAAAACTATTCTAAAACATGACACAACAGTAGGGAGTCTCATTATCATTTGTAATAGCCAAAAATATTGCATAATATTTCTACTTAAAGATGGACTCTGAACCTGCCGACCCTGTCCCTTCAACCCTGTGTGTGTGAGAGCCCAAAAGTTTAAAATTAAAGTTAAACAATGGCTCAAAAGGAACCAAACTTGCAAGACTATAATATTCTTTTGTAAATATTTTGTTCTGTGTAATCAATGTTTTTTAAAATGATCTATGTAAATGTGATGTACTTCATGTCTTAGGGCCCAGGTCTGCGTATTAGCTGTTACTACAGAGTCAATGAACATGGCATTGGTTATTTGTAACAATGCTTCTTGTTCTGTCCCTATCAAATAAACATAAATAATAAAACAAGTCAGTTCAAAATCAGTGTGTTAAAAGAGTTTGTTTGGTTAACCCTTCAGGCGCCAAAGTAGCATAATTGCTACACAAGCTCCTAGATAGACACATGTCTCCAAACAATTTTCTGACGTCATTTTCTTCTGTCTTTTTCATTATTATTTAAAGTAGTCCCCAATCTACTATATAGTTACATGCTGTCACCTTTTGTCTATTTCACAATATATTTCTCAATAAAACGCTAGTGTCTGAAGGACAATCACCAGCACTTGTTTATTGTCACGCATATTCTCTGCTAAGTGTCTCTGAAAGCATAAATTCTGCCAGAGTGTGTAAACGTCTGGGGATAAGGCCTGTAGTGATGGTCCACTTCCTGTTTCTGTGTGAGCACGGTCAGCACGCGGCCGGCTCTGCGCTCTGTCCAGTCATTACCACATGTTACATGAAGAAGTGAACAGGTTCTGGCCGGATTCTGCCTTCTCCATAGTTTAATTACCCGCACAGTTAGCCGCCTCCGTCTACTGCGTCATACGGTGATTATTTTCTAGTTGTGACCTGATTGGAATTATAATATTAGTCATTTAAAACACACACACACACAACACAGTTTTGCATGAGGGTTACATAGCTTTGAATTAATAAAATGTTATAATTCTAGGTCCAAACGAGGCAAACAATGGGGTCAGGATCAATGAATTATCAATCACGCTTCACTGGACCAAATCAAGGTCTATGGATTAAAGCTCATTGGTTAATCCAGTCCAGTTATTTATAAACCAACAGTTTGCAAAGACTAAGACTAAACAATAACAAATGTAATCATACAAGTCTATACATCACCAACAACAGATCAGAGAATATTCACAGGGAAAACAATAATAACAAACACATAGTGAGTCCATAGTGAGCGGTTTGACTAATGTCTATGAATTTAAAGACGGTAAAGTTTGATTAGCTATGTCATAATAAAGCTTTGTAATCATTTATTTTTAGCTATTTTGGGAGCTAAAAGAAATATTGTTACTAAGCTATCACAAACTTTGGCTTTAGCACTGCCTTCTTCAACCTGTTTGATGTGCTGTTTGATACCGTCAGGTCGCCCATGGGAAAAAACACATTTCAACCCATCGGTCTAAGCATTTTTAATATTTACTGTTCTATGACTATCTACGAAGTTAATAATTTTTTCATGGTTTTGTCTGGGGCTCAAAATGGTAGTGAAAAACTGGTACAAGTTGCTGAGTCAGTGCTGATATTCTGCCATTCATGAATAGATTTGTATGTACATTCAACATGTGTTATGCTTTTACTAATAATTCTACAGACTGGACAGGTATATGGTTCGTTAAAGTCTGTTTGTTTTGTTAATGAGCCATGGTATTTGCACTTCTCCTCTCTTTGTTGGTCTTTGTCTACTAACAGCTTCTCGAGACCTAAGCCTCAGCAGCTGCAGTCTCCACTCAGATAAAAATACACTAAATATACAAAACAAAATACATACCTGCGTCTTTATGGCAGGTTTCTATGATCATCTCATTTGAACGGTTTTATATGATACGACTAGAACCTGTTTTCGTCCCACTGTGAGAAACTACTTCCCGACAGTCGATGGGAAAAATACAACTATAGAAAAAGCTGTAAACATTTAGTGAATAATAACCTACCTAATGTGTTAGTTGAGACATAGGGCTAAAGTGGAACAATTGCACATGGGAAAAGGAGCTCACATGCATAAATTACCCCATTAAGTATGTAAGTAAGTATAATATTTATTTACAGTGCCTTGCGAAAGTATTCGGCCCCCTTGAACCTTTCAACATTTTGCCACATTTCAAGCTTCAAACATAAAGATATAAAAATTTAATTTTTAGTCAAGAATCAACAACAAGTGGGACACAATCGTAAAGTGGAACGAAATTTATTGGATAATTTAAACTTTTTTAACAAATAAAAAACTGAAAAGTGGGGCGTGCAATATTATTCGGCCCCCTTGCGCTAATACTTTGTAGCGCCACCTTTTGCTGCAATTACAGCTGCAAGTCGCTTGGGGTATGTCTCTATCAGTTTTGCACACCGAGAGACTGGAATGCTTGCCCATTCTTCCTTGCAAAACAGCTCGAGCTCAGTGAGGTTGGATGGAGAGCGTTTGTGAACAGTAGTCTTCAGCTCTTTCCACAGATTCTCGATTGGATTCAGGTCTGGACTTTGACTTGGCCATTCTAACACCTGGATACGTCTATTTGTGAACCATTCCATTGTAGATTTGGCTTTATGTTTTGGATCATTGTCCTGTTGGAAGATAAATCTCCGTCCCAGTCTCAGGTCTTTTGCAGACTCCAACAGGTTTTCTTCCAGAATGGTTCTGTATTTGGCTCCATCCATCTTCCCATCAATTTTAGCCATCTTTCCTGTCCCTGCTGAAGAAAAGCAGGCCCAAAGCATGATGCTGCCACCACCATGTTTGACAGTGGGGATGGTGTGTTCAGGGTGATGAGCTGTGTTGCTTTTACGCCAAACATATCGTTTTGCATTGTGGCCAAAAAGTTAGATTTTGGTTTCATCTGACCAGAGCACCTTCTTCCACATGTTTGGTGTGTCTCCCAGGTGGCTTGTGGCAAACTTTAAACAAGGCTTTTTATGGATATCTTTGAGAAATGGCTTTCTTCTTGCCACTCTTCCATAAAGGCCAGATTTGTGCAGTGCACGACTGATTGTTGTCCTATGGACAGACTCTCCCACCTCAGCTGTAGTTATCTGCAGTTCATCCAGAGTGATCATGGGCCTCTTGGCTGCATCTCTGATCAGTCTTCTCCTTGTTTGAGATGAAAGTTTGGAGGGACGGCCGGGTCTTGGTAGATTTGCAGTGGTCTGATACTCCTTCCATTTCAATATAATTGCTTGCACAGTGCTCCTTGAGATGTTTAAAGCTTGGGAAATCTTTTTGTATCCAAATCCGGCTTTAAACTTCTCCACAACAGTATCTCGGACCTGCCTGGTGTGTTCCTTTGTCTTCATGGTTCTCTCTGCGCTTTAAACAGAACCCTGAGACTATCAAAGAGCAGGTGCATTTATACGGAGACTTGATTACACACAGGTGCATTCTATTTATCATCATCAGTCATTTAGGACAACATTGGATCATTCAAAGATTCTCACTGAACTTCTGGACTGAGTTTGCTGCACTGAAAGTAAAGGGGCCGAATAATATTGCACAACCCACTTTTCAGTTTTTTATTTGTTAAAAAAGTTTAAATTATCCAATAAATTTCGTTCCACTTCACGATTGTGTCCCACTTGTTGTTGATTCATGACAAAAAATTAAAATTTTATATCTTTATGTTTGAAGCCTGAAATGTGGCGAAATGTTGAAAGGTTCAAGGGGGCCGAATACTTTCGCAAGGCACTGTATATAGCGCATTTCACAGACCAAGGTCCCCCAATTTGCAGTACAGATAGAATTAAATTAAACATATAGTGCATTCAGAAAGTACTCAACCTCCATCACCATTTTTTATACCTTTTGCAATACTAGTTTTATTCCAAAATGTAAGCAAGTGGGTATATTTTTAGTGGTAGGGGAAACCGGAGCAACTGGAGAAAACCCACGCAGACACGGCGAGAACATGTAAACTCCACACATAAAGGCCTGGAGGTGGAATAGAACCCAGGAACTTTCTAAAATGCATCTGATGTGTATGTTTTACTTGCAATACTCTAAAATGACAAAGTGAAAAACGTTTTTGAGGAGTCTTTGTGACTAATAATAAAACAAAAATATCACGTGTGCATAAGTATTCACACGTGACAGAGACCGAATGACGGAGACCGAATGACGGAGACGATTCACGATTAATTTTTTAATAACAAAGTTTTGCGAATGGATTGACAAGAATAATATAGAGTTTGAGATATAAGTATAAAGCTGTAGTATTATATGATGCACAGTTTTTTTTATATAGAAAGTATCTTTTATTTGATTCATTCTCTCAGATCCACGTCATACAGACGGTTTTACGACACACACGTTCCAACTTGTCTATGTTTGGACTGAGTGCATTTTATAGTCACTCGACACACTGTGGTGGGCAGCTGTCTCTGTGTGTGTTTGTGTGTGTGTGTGTGTGTAGGTATTTATGCATGTATGTATTATTCTGTCTGTCTGTTTCTGTATGTGTGTGTGTCTGTATGTGTGTGTTTTTGTCTGTATCTGTATGTGTGTGTGTCTGTATGTACGTGTTTTTGTCTGTATCTGTATGTGTGTGTGTCTGTATGTGTGTGCGTGTGTCTGTATGTGTGTGTGTGTCTCTGTTTGTAATATTTGATTATACCACAACTAATTATTTTGATAAAACTTCTTCCATTTGAAATATTTTTTAAGAACCAAAATAAAAATTTTCAAGTGAACAGTAAGTTTTTAGTTATGCAATAAGACACCAAAAATCCTTATTAACTACTAGTATCTATCTGTATCTACTACAAGTATCTGTAGTACTATCAGTGCAAGCCGGTACAGGATGTGTCTGTTTCTGTTGCTTCAGGCCGCTTCCGTCAAGACAATATTCATGATGTGCGTAACATAATGACATAGACCAACTACATACAGTAAACTGCGCTATACAAATAAACTTGCCTTGCCTAAATAGACAAACTACGGAAGCTTGTTAGGTTCACTTGTGAGTGTTTTTTTTTTTTTTCTGGTATCATGTTATTTCATGATACACAACTATCATGTTATTTCATGAAACACAACTATCATGTTATTTCATGATACACAACTATCATGTTATTTCATGATACACAACTATCATGTTATTTCATGATACACAACTATCATGTTATTTCATGATACACAACTATCATGTTATTTCATGATACACAACTATAGTGTTATTTCATGATACACAACTATCATGTTATTTCATGAAACACAACTATCATGTTATTTCATGATACACAACTATCATGTTATTTCATGATACACAACTATCATGTTATTTCATGATACACAACTATCATGTTATTTCATGATACACAACTATAGTGTTATTTCATGATACACAACTATCATGTTATTTCATGATACACAACTATCATGTTATTTCATGATACCAATTTATCAGAAGCTGACAGCTTCTTCTTCTGTATCTACAGTATCATGTTATTTCATGACAAATTGGTATCATGAAATAACATGATAAATTGGTATCATGAAATAACATGATAGTTGTGTATCATGAAATAACATGATATTTATCATGTTATTTCATGAAAGTATCATGAAATAACATGATACCAGCGGGAAAAAAACACACTCACAAGTGAACCTAACAAGCTTCCGTAACAAACAAACCAACTCCTCAGGGTAACATCATCTCTCCCTCCTTCACAGCCTTTGTTCTGATGACTGTTTGCGGTTTTAGGGTGGTCCCCGGAAACAGGACGGGCCAAAGTCACGGGCGCGCGTCTGCAGCCAATGCCCACAACAATCCTGCTCATTAACGACTTATGACCACTTCTCACATCATACACACATTCTGTCACGTGTTGCGGCAAACTCTATCTCACGTCCAAAACACAAAGATTGACGTTTGAACATCCCCTATTTGTCTTGCAATATGCCATATGTTTCCTCACGTGAATCCGGGGCCCTTACGCACTCGAGCGTAGGGTCAGGTGACTTGTTGAAACATGTGAAACTGGCACGAACTGCTTTGTCTGGCGTTAAACATTGACGCTGGGAACTCGTCTTCAATACATGCGTTATTACCTGGTTATGGCGTGGACGCACCGGCGAAACGCAGGCTGCAAATGCGATGCGTAAAGATGAGGACATTTTGGAATAAGTCATAAATGTTGTATACTTACTGCCTTTGTGACGTTTTCTACAATCCAATTACACCTTCACCGGCCCGGGCATGCCACTCTGTCCCCTCTCCTCAGGTGTGCTACAAAAAATAAAAATAAAAAAACCTTTCACATCTTCCTCAGACATCCAGGCGCTCTCTTCTCTCTCATAGCGGCAGCAGGTCGCTCCGTTCCCCGAAGGGCAGAGCCAGTACGCATCGGCCCTGGCTGAGCTCCCCGCTATCTGCGCACCCAAGAACGTAAGGTGATTCCAAGAAAAGTCAGAGCCAACATGGAGCCAGAGCAGAGACGCCGAGCGCAGAGCGGCGTTGGCTGACGGGGGGGCGGGGCGGGGACCGGGGGGAGCAGGGCCGCGTCGTGATTGGACAGGAGCGACACAGGGGGCGTGGCTGTGAGATAACAGCGTGCTGCGTTTGGGTCATGGAGAGAAATTGGACACCTGAAGTTAGCGGTGCGTATGTGGGGGGTGGTTAGTGTTATATGGATAGAAGATTATATTCGTTTTGAGTAAGTGTATTTAGAATAGAGTATAAAAAGCAGGCTCAAGCTGATTTGCATTTTATATATTCTATTTATTTTTTTAGTTTTATTATATATTATTATTATTATTATTATGTCTTGTGCTATTTTCCTTTTTTACTTTTTGTTGCATTTCCTGTATGATAATAAATAAATAAACAAATGCATAAAATGTGATTAATTGCATGAATAGGCCAAATGGTAATAAATAACACAATTTTGCTTTCTAAATGAGTGTAAATAAGTGAGACAACACAGACTGTATAATAAGGCATTGTTTTGTACTGTATTTTTTACCTGACATTTTCGGTTTTCATTTTGGAACTGTCATTACTCAGCTCCTGTTTGATCTCTGAACTTTGAACTTTGTGACGTTTTCTGTATCTATTTCTGTATGTAGTGTATTTCTTCATGTAATTATCTTCTGTGTGTGGGATTATGACAGCTCCATTCATTTACATGCCAAAGTCAAATGTAGCCATGTTCAGTCGCCTGGCAACCGACATCCTATGGCTACCATAAGTTACCATAGCAACACACAGCAAGTTAGTGTTTAGTATAGTCTTTCAACAAACTTATTCAAAGTCAAATCAGTTGTTTGAAAATAAAAAAGATGAAAAAACTCCTTGGATTCAAATGAGAGCCAAAAAAGTGAGTTCTAGTTAGTCCTAGTGTACTTCTGAAGCCACCGCTGCCCTGGGGCTGACTGATGAAAGCGAGGCAACTAATTGACCGTCACCAATCCTTCGCACACTCAGCTGACTCCTACTGGTGTCTTGCCGAAGGACACAACAGCAGTTCGGCACTTTACAGCCACAGCCGCCCCACTGTGCCACCTGCTGTGATGGTGTTCGCAGAGGTCTCCCATCACAGTACTGACCAGGCCCTGCTTTGCTTAGCTTCTGACAGGTCCAGGCTTTCACATGTAAGTTATGGTTTTTATGAGACATTTGTAATTTTGCATTTAACATTTTTCTTTATCAAATTAGTTCAAGATTATTACATTGGACCATAACAGGATGCGTTACATAATATTGTTTTGTTATTTATTTATCAGAAAACAACAAAAATAAATAAAAAAACAACAAAAAAACTACAATTTCCTTCTTTGTTGTCGCTGTGTAGAAAATAGAGTGTATTTCAGTGGTGTTCAGAATTGCTACTAAAACATATGAAACATACGGTGGTAAATAACATACACCAAGACATGCCAAACTCAGGCCCGTGGGCCAAAATCCGGCCCGCAAAATCATTCTTAGCGACCCCTGAAACGATTTTCAACTATCACAGTAACTTGCAGCATTGATGGTAATAGGAGACTATGGCATGTTATACTTCATTTTAAAGCTTAGTTTCTCAGGAAAATAGCCGTAAAATTTAAGTACGGTCAAAGATTTATTTTTTATATGTAACTATCAACCCTTAATTACTTTTTAAAAATATATTTGACACAGTTGTGATTGAATCCAAACCTACAAGAATAAATAATAATAATAATAATAACGATAATGATAATAATATTAAAACAAAACCATTTTTATACTGTATGTTATTGTTAGTAAAAAACACTGGTCATATGTTTTCCTGTCATACATAGTTGCTTTGAATCTATATACTCTCCATGGAATCAATATATCTTTGTTTTCTTAGAAGGAAATCTGAAATCTTATGGATAAGAACCAGAAGTAAACAAAAGTACACACTGCCAGAGAACAGTGTGTAACCCTTACATTGTGTATTCACTGCAGTCTATAGGCCACGGTTTAACTCACACCAGAAGCTAACTCAAACCATTACAAGGCTATTAATAATTATCTCCACTAATCTGGACTTCTGACACAGTTAAAGCTTGGGTGTCTAACTTTCAAACCACAGCTGCTCAGAAACGGTTGGGTTGATTTCACATGTATTTTTGGATCAGATTTTTATAACTGAAAATGTCAAATATCTCACAAAGATCTTTCTGACATATATGCAAAAGATGTTTTCTAGCAGGATTTAAGTAAGGAAACTTTTTATTTGTAGCTTCTTTCACAGAACCAAGGTCATAAAGCGCTTCATAATTGCATAAAATAATACAGTTGAAAACGTATGTACACATTCAAAAGACAAAGACAACTCATAACTGCCACAAGAATAATAAAATAATAATAAAAAAACAGACACAAAGGGTGCAACAGCTAGAAAGGATCCACCGTTATCACTTCAGCTGTAGTCTGTTCATTGCTATTCACCCGCTGTCCCATGGTCTGATTCATGGCGTGATGATGGGTTCTGAGTAGAGGACCATCAACAGGTTCTGAGTGGAGGAACATCAACAGGGTGTGTGTGGAGGACCATCAACAGGGTCTGTGTGGAGGACCATCGACAGGGTCTGAGTGGAGGACCATCAACAGGGTGTGTGTGGAGGACCATCAACAGGGTCTGAGTGGAGGACCATCAACAGGGTCTGAGTGGAGGACCATCAACGGGGTGTGTGTGGAGGACCATCAACCGGGTCTGAGTGGAGGACCATCAACAGGGTGTGTGTGGAGGACCATCAACAGGAGTGGAGGACCATCAACAGGGTGTGTGTGGAGGACCATCAACAGGGTGTGTGTGGAGGACCATCAACAGGGTCTGAGTGGAGGACCATCAACAGGATCTGAGTAGAGGACCATCAACAGGTTCTGAGTAGAGGACCATCAACAGGGTGTGTGTGGAGGACCATCAACAGGGTCTGAGTGGAGGACCATCAACAGGGTCTGAGTGGAGGACCATCAACAGGGTCTGAGTAGAGGACCATCAACAGGGTCTGTGTGGAGGACCATCAACAGGTTCTGAGTAGAGGACCATCAACAGGGTCTGAGTGGAGGACCATCAACAGGGTGTGTGTGGAGGACCATCAACAGGTTCCGAGTGGAGGACCATCAACAGGGTCTGAGTGGAGGACCATCAACAGGGTCTGAGTGGAGGACCATCAACAGGGTGTGTGTGGAGGACCATCAACAGGGTCTGAGTGGAGGACCATCAACAGGGTGTGTGTGGAGGACCATCAACAGGGTCTGAGTGGAGGACCATCAACAGGGTCTGAGCGGAGGACCATCAACAGGGTGTGTGTGGAGGACCATCAACAGGAGTGGAGGACCATCAACAGGTTCTGAGTGGAGGAACATCAACAGGGTGTGTGTGGAGGACCATCAACAGGGTCTGTGTGGAGGACCATCAACAGGGTCTGAGTGGAGGACCATCAACAGGGTGTGTGTGGAGGACCATCAACAGGGTCTGAGTGGAGGACCATCAACGGGGTGTGTGTGGAGGACCATCAACCGGGTCTGAGTGGAGGACCATCAACAGGGTGTGTGTGGAGGACCATCAACAGGAGTGGAGGACCATCAACAGGGTGTGTGTGGAGGACCATCAACAGGGTGTGTGTGGAGGACCATCAACAGGGTCTGAGTGGAGGACCATCAACAGGATCTGGAGTAGAGGACCATCAACAGGTTCTGAGTAGAGGACCATCAACAGGGTGTGTGTGGAGGACCATCAACAGGGTCTGAGTGGAGGACCATCAACAGGGTCTGAGTGGAGGACCATCAACAGGGTCTGAGTAGAGGACCATCAACAGGGTCTGTGTGGAGGACCATCAACAGGTTCTGAGTAGAGGACCATCAACAGGGTCTGAGTGGAGGACCATCAACAGGGTGTGTGTGGAGGACCATCAACAGGTTCCGAGTGGAGGACCATCAACAGGGTCTGAGTGGAGGACCATCAACAGGGTCTGAGTGGAGGACCATCAACAGGGTGTGTGTGGAGGACCATCAACAGGGTCTGAGTGGAGGACCATCAACAGGGTGTGTGTGGAGGACCATCAACAGGGTCTGAGTGGAGGACCATCAACAGGGTCTGAGCGGAGGACCATCAACAGGGTGTGTGTGGAGGACCATCAACAGGAGTGGAGGACCATCAACAGGTTCTGAGTGGAGGACCATCAACAGGGTCTGAGTGGAGGACCATCAACAGGGTGTGTGTGGAGGACCATCAACAGGTTCTGAGTGGAGGACCATCAACAGGGTCTGAGTGGAGGACCATCAACAGGGTGTGTGTAGAGGACCATCAACAGGGTCTGAGTGGAGGACCATCAACAGGGTGTGTGTGGAGGACCATCAACAGGGTGTGTGTGGAGGACCATCAACAGGGTCTGAGTGGAGGACCATCAACAGGTTCTGAGTGGAGGACCATCAACAGGTTCTGAGTGAAGGACCATCAACAGGGTCTGTGTGGAGGACCATCAACAGGGTCTGAGTAGAGGACCATCAACAGGGTCTGAGTGGAGGACCATCAACAGGGTGTGTGTAGAGGACCATCAACAGGGTCTGAGTGGAGGACCATCAACAGGGTGTGTGTGGAGGACCATCAACAGGGTGTGTGTGGAGGACCATCAACAGGGTCTGAGTGGAGGACCATCAACAGGTTCTGAGTGGAGGACCATCAACAGGTTCTGAGTGAAGGACCATCAACAGGGTCTGTGTAGAGGACCATCAACAGGGTCTGTGTGGAGGACCATCAACAGGGTCTGAGTAGAGGACCATCAACAGGGTCTGAGTGGAGGACCATCAACAGGGTCTGAGTGGAGGACCATCAACAGGGTCTGAGTGGAGGACCATCAACAGGGTCTGAGTAGAGGACCATCAACAGGGTCTGAGTGGAGGACCATCAACAGGGTCTGAGTAGAGGACCATCAACAGGGTCTGTGTGGAGGACCATCAACAGGTTCCGAGTGGAGGACCATCAACAGGGTCTGTGTGGAGGACCATCAACAGAGTCCTCAATGGTTGGTTTTAAGATTCTGATGCTTGTTGTACATTTTTTCTACGATTAATCCCCTGTTCATCTGACAGAACTGCTATCTCTGCTCCTTCAT